TGTCGCTCGCCACGTCATTTTCAACGTGAAAAAAGACGATTGCCTCAGCGAGCACAAAATAATAAACTGCGCCTCAATAGCAGAGAGAACACAATGATGGCTTGACGTATGCAGAAAATAGCAAATAGCAACACGTTTCAAACACAAAGGTCTATCTTCGGCATCATCATGGGTAGCCTGTATGTTTGATGAATCCTACATAATTAAGCTAGTTGCTGTGGTCAAATAACATCTCGGTCAGGAAAATAGTTTGGTTACAATAATAAGATAGCTAATTAGTTCACAGGCTAGTACAGTAATCTAGCTGTTAAATAGGGCAGGGGCAGGGCGGGGGAGATAGAGGTTACCACCTGGCCTACTGTAAGGTTTTTTGCAGGGGAACCCTGAATTACCTTTCAAGAACAAAAAAAAATAGGGGTCATACTTGGCAAGTGGCAGTATTCGAGCTTTTAAAAGTACAGCATCCTTTGGGTTCATGCATGTGTGGAGTGGCCGGTTCTACCTGTTCCAACACTAGAGAGAGGAATGAATAACAGGCAAGTGAGACAGTGCGGAAAAAAAGGGAAGGCACAATCTCTTCAGTTGTTTCCTCCCTTGAACAATTTTCCCTCCCAATAGCCTTCAAAGCGTGCCATACAATACAATCTAGAGACATGCTTCACTTTTATTTCGATTGGAGAATTCTTAAGCAGTGATGGCCAGCAACACATTTTTGGTTTCTTCAGTTCTACATTTCATTCAGACCCCACCGATATTTATCTTGTGCCAAAAAAAAAAATCACCCATCCATGTTTCTTGGAATGTAATATCGGATCATTTTTTAGCCCAAGCACAGCAATGTCTCCGTCAACCTTTTTCCCCCTCACTGTAACTACAATTATCTTGGTACATTTTCACTCCAGGTTCCATGTTATTGTCTCTAAAAGTGTATGAAACGGCAAAAGTCATTTAAGCCTTCCTACCGTGTGTGTGATTAGAGCATTCCTGGAAGAACAGAGCTGTGGGCTTTGACACAAAAGGCAGAACACCTTGGATGCGAGAGTAATTTGGTGTCATTTTGTGTTGAATAAGATGAAAGGATTTAGCAGCTGTTCTGTCCCTTCTTTCAATGAGCTTCCAAAGAGTGTTTATTTCTCCCTTAATTGTAGTTATTTCCAATGAGGACTATTCCACATTTGGCAATAATTGCGAATACTAACCAATAGCTAATAAACTAAGGTACTGAAATTTGAAAGGTTTCCAAGCAATTTGTTCCATCCAGTGTGTCTCACTAAAACTGCTCTAATGACTGTTCAGTGTAAAATACGACCTTTGAAAGTAACTACCACTGAATTTGTTATGAAACAACAACAAAAAAGATTATGGTATTTATAGGATGACCTGATCTTATTCTGAAAATAGTGATGTTTACAGTACATATTGCTGCAATCAGTCCATGAACTTAATTCTAAACCCCCTGCAGTTTGTCAGCTGAAATGAAATAAGAACTGCAAACAGGCTTCACACATTTCTGTTCAATATAATAATAAATAATTCACTTGCAAATAAGATAACCTTCATTTCCTTCTTTCATTGGTTTAAGCTAACCTTGGCGGACAACTGACAATTACAAGTGAACAATACCTACAGTTTCTGAAATGTGAGAAACATGTTTTCAAGATGAAGCATTTACCCAAACACTATAAAACAAGGACGGTGTGATCTACAGAAATGCAAAGTAACAAATAAAAAAGTATCAAAGTCTCTCGTAGAAACACAATTAACTTTGCATATCCAATTATATATATATATATTTTCTTCTACTGTGACCACAAAGCAGAAGTTTATGATTTCTGCATTAATTACATTTTGCCCAATCTACACGAACCGAAGATAAAGTGATCTGCAGGTAAACTTTAACCCATTTTTCCCCAATGGAAAACTTACACATTATTGCAAACAAGTCAGATGCTTTATTGATCTTGAAAATTCTTTTTCAATTAAATTGCCAATCAAAGCATGTTACAAGCCTTACAATAACTGAAATGGTACATCAATTTTGTTTTATTGAAAGGCTTACTAAAAGTTTCACTGAATTTGTTTGTCTAACATGGAAATTAAATGTTACTTTGTATAGTTACTCAATTACACAGAGCAGTAATGATACTAAAGTATTAGACAATTTAAAAAGGATGGGAGGCCTTTATCATGCTTGGTTACTAATAACTAATTTATATTTTTCAAAGGTAAAGAGACAAGAACTGGCAACTGAGAAGAGCACTATTAAATGGTATTTTTATTTCATAGATTTGTAGTGGCATGAATAAAATATAAGAAAGTTTGTGCTCATTTCTTTTAAAAAGGTAGTTGACATTACAATGTTTTTTTTAAAGTTGTTTTATTTACAATAAAACTGTAGTATAATCCTTCCATTTATCTGAATTGAAAATGTTCTTTAATCAATATAAGAACTCTTAAAACAACCAAAATGATTTAAAGTTAATTAAAAGTTCTACCGATCATCTGTATTTATGCATTTACTTCAGGCAAGTTTTAAAAGATTTGTAACTTGCTGTAGAAATTGGGCTCTGAATGTGCATGTGTTTCGAGCCAAGTGAGGGTTAGGATGAAAATAAGTGTGGTCTTTATTTATATTTAGGTTGCACTTTAAATGAAAACATTAAGACAGTTACTGGTAGGGATAATACAATGTAACAGACACCTATATCCAGAAACAAAAATGAAGATTGTTTTAACAAATAAGCACACTGCATGCAAGATATATCTCTAAAATCAAGAAATACTGCAACACTTATCCTAACCCTTGCTCAGTTTCTTCCTCAGCAATGTCCTTCCTCTATGTGACGAAGCAAAACGTTTCGCAGCCTTGGGCTGAAAAGGAAATAAAAACTTACCCTTCTGATATGCTATTGCAGATAGATTGCAGGTCTGTGTTGAGGGATTTCATGGTTTTAACCGAGACACTGAAATCACCAGAGAAAGACGTAAAATGGGATAACCTTATCTGTAGGTAAATGCTGTTGGATGCTAAAGAGCGAAAGGTAAAAATACATAAGTCCAGATAAAAACAGAAGCAGTTAAGAGGCTTTATTCAAACCAAAACATCAACATACAGTAAGCTTCTCTATCTAGTCTAAGAATGGTGTACCATAAAAGGTAGCAATTTTGTTTCCCCAGTAATCCTGCATTTAAATTCAAGGAAGCCCTGCTTTCTCCAAGTCCAATACAATCCTTACATTATTAAGCAGAAGTGATACAGAACTGTTTGAGGTCGTTTTACTTTATAGGAATACAGATGCCCACAGTGAAAAAAGCAAATTAACTGGATGGAGCACATCAGCACAAAATCAGATGAAAGAGGTAAAATTGTTTTTTTCGCTAAAGTTTTTAAAACCGGAGTCCTTTTAGTTTTGGTAACTGCCAATTATTTTTGCATTTTTAAGCTCTCTAAATTTTGTAATTCTTCTACAGCCCCTGAAGAAGCTCAAGAAGAAGATGATATTTGACATGCAATCAATCTACATAGTAACCAGCCAAGAGATATTTTTCTGAGCTCGACAGAATCCTATAGGAAACATTAACAGCAATCAGAGGAGTGGTGACATACTGAAACTCATGCTGAGGCTGCACCTCAGAGGCCCTCATGCCTTTGACTTCGTTTGAGTTGTGAAATAAATTAAACACATGGCAGGCAGGTCATTTGTAGCATGTATAGTGTTGACTCTCTGAATAAATAACTTCAAGACATACCGAAGTCATCCAAGGCAATACAGGGAGATATTATTGACAGAGGATGCAGATGGATATTGGCATTCATTTCCCCTTTACATTTCACATTAATTAAGCCAACGAGGCAAACCAGACTGAGCATTGCCTGAGACCGAGGCATGAACTGTCAGAGCACAGTGCTCTCTTTGCACTCGACAGCATAGTAATTTCCTGCATCTCAAGATAGATAAATTACACCTGAAAAAATAGAGCAGTAAGTTAAATGTCTGTTGCCCTGCCATGGACTGACGCACTGTCCAGCATGTATCCTTGTGTCCATTGCTTGCCAGGCTAGACTCTGGCCCCCCGTGACCCAGTACTGGATAAAGAGGTTAGAAAATGGATGGACGGTAAATGTTTGCAATTAGAAAAAAAAGTTTCTTAATGCTGAGTTTACAACCATTTACTGATAGCGGCATTTTTAAATGAACTTTTAAAATAAATTATTTCAAATGTCCTACAGTTGGTTCAGCCTCTTAATGTGAGTTGCTACTGATCTCTCTTTCTCCTTCAAAATGCAACTTTTAGCCACAATGTTAATACGAATACAAGAACAACTGAACAGTTTTTTCTCATTTGTAACTTATCTGACTTTTTTGGTTGCGAGTTAAAATGATTCAAGCAGTTTGTGGTGTGAAAAAAAAAAGACGTCAACATACTACATGCGCCAAGTATTAAAAAAGCTACTTTATGCAAATTGCACCAAAACATATCCCAAGACATGAGAAATTTTAACCAGCTACTCTGTGATTTAAATATAAATGGTAAAACAACAAAAAATACATTTAGATTACTGTCCAGTATTTCTATGTGATGCTGCAGAGAAATACCCAACAGAAAAAAACCCCAATAAGAGACCATTAGAAAAGCAAGAAAAACATCAGAATGGAAGAAATCACTATTAGTCAACAAAATGGGTTTTAGCAGGCTTCTGGCTCCTAAGCACACTTTAGATAATTCAGGGCTGGTAGCATTCATTTTGCTGCTTCATGGTAATTTTGAATCCTCTGACTTTTATCCTATTACAATATTTATGCTAATATGCACATATGCTCAAATACAAAGTGTAAACAAAACAGTAGAACTGCTTCCCTATATGGCCACAAAAGCTTAAATAAACTGGGATCCATCATGATGTAGCATGAAGGAAAGCTTTCAAACATAAAACCGATCCTTTGAGATTCAGAGTTTTGAAGAAAGTTGGAAATAAGCAACTCTTAAATTCACACAACAACCTTTGTACCTTTTAATTTCCACCTACTATTTTAATAGAGACATCATACACATGCAATATTCTAGACCTTTTACTTACACATTAAAACCATGCAGCAGAACCAAACGAACCAGAATGCTTAACCAAGACTGAAGAGCTCAATTTCTAAAGTTAGCCAATCGCCGATGTTTGAAAGAGGTCATTCTTTTGTGATAAAATCCGGAAAAACAAAAACAACAACAAGGGAGATGCTAAGAGTTACTAAGAGTAAATGTAACAGAAAGGATGTCTCACAATGAGACAGCAGCATTCAAATCTTAATTCGGAACTAGGAGCATTACAATAACCTGAGCTTTCAGTTGTTCCTGAAAAGGTCAAAATAGTAACTAACAGAAAGTGAATCATATACACACACAGGAAAAGTACATAGTTTATGTACTGATTTTGGCACACAGATCCAATGTGAAATAAGAAGAGTTTTTGGTTGTCTTGTAATGACTACAAATCTGTACAGTTTTAAAAAAGGCCAATGATATGGATTCATGTCTTATCATGTTTGCTATTCAATAAGTCAATAACCATTATCTAATTTCTGTTCACCTGAAAGAAGCCAAACCAAATAGTACATTCTTTGCAAACATATCTACAAATAAAAATATCTACAAATTAAAAAAAAGCAGCACTTTATAGTACAAAAATAAATTTACAACTTTAAAGAATAAAAATAAAGATTTTTTTTAAGAACAATCTACAAATTTCAGTAACATCAACTGGAGTTTACATACTAAATTAATTTTGTAAAACTGCAGTCATTCAGTAGCATTTCAAGTATACAGAACACATCCGTTTTCATCTTGTTTAGATAAGGTCATTCAATCTGGAGTTTGACAGGTGTAACATACTATAGCATGTCTTCAGTCCCTAACACCACAGTTATGAATGAATTCCAGTTACATTTACATGTACCTTCTGCCAAGATAAAGATGAGCTTTTCAAGACAAAGTCTTCATAAGAAACTACAGATGAGCCTTTACATTTTGTTTCAGGACAGCCTTCTTGTTCTCAGTCTCTTAAATATAACTCAGTTGTAAAAAGTAACAGACTCTTGATAAAACTGGTATACTTGCTTAAAAAAAAAGAGACTACACAACCTTGCCCACAGCAGCAAGCATTGAGATTTCATATGCAGAAATGCACTCAAGTTTTAACACTTAGGGCTCTTCTGTGATTTGTATATTTGTATCCAATGTTGAGCTGAACAATTCAGATTATTATTAGTAACATTTGGCTTTTAAAGTGGCAAAGCATTAAGTCGGACTGAAAATAAAACTTTTAAAATAAATATGAAAATCACATCATGACGTTCTTCCATATTTAATTTTGTAAACCTGGTATGAGGTATGTGATATCGACGGATTGAGCAATGTTCTCCCAGAGAACATGTTGCGCCAGACATACCCTCAAAAGCACAAGGTCAGCTTCAAACCGAAGATGGTAAGAAAAACAAAAACAAAGATCCAGTCACAATGATGGACGACTTTTTTTAACATTAACGTTTAGGACCAAAAGCAAAAGTGTGTTGCATATCGTGTTGTCAGTTGTACCAAAACAATCTTATTTTCAGAGTCCCAGTCCTAGAGTTTTAGACCAGCCAGTGTGAGCTGATTTGGGAAGAGAGCTCCCTTCATTCTGGTCACAAATTCTACCTTCAGCAAACCAAGGTGGAGTCAAGCATTCTCTGCCGTACAGATGTGTCCTCATTGTTTCCGTCTGCCAGTGATAAATCTGAAAAAAATAGAAGAAACACTATTCATTATGACTCAGATCTCCCAATAATGCCTCATTTAATCTTATTTTAGATCTTTTGCATAGACAGGGAGAGAGAGTTCCATATCTGCATTATCACAGCTTCTTAAACTAGAAACAGAAGGAAATGCTTCTTGAATTTCCAGGCATGTGAGCTACAAAAGCACAGGTTAAATTAAATTAAGCACAAAATGAGGAAGAAAAGAGCAAAATACAGTAAGACAAAATGACCTTTTTTAAATAGGTGTTTTGTTTTTTTGTAAGTTAAACAATCTTATTCAGAATAATTTACTGATCCAGGTTTCAGGGTTTTCATCATTCCTAATTTTTAATTCCACTAGTCTGAGCCATTCTTGCCAAACAAAAAAAAAACAGCTCTTCCCCTGGCAATGAAAACTGGACATGTTTAACCGTGTTAATTATGACATTGAAATGGGTTTATCAATGACTACAGACACTCCTTTAAATAGTCCTTTAGCAATAGAATCATATCTAAAATATTTACATATTGTAAATATGTCCATAGTTTGAATCGGAAACACAATTTCAAATAACATAGTTCCTATAGTGTCCACTACTAAATCTTAATTTACAGTACGTCTGCTATTTCTCAAATCAGATTAAGCTCAAATCAAATTAATGTGCACAAGGAAGGCGTTAAAATCTGGAAAAGCTGCAGATACATTTTCAATCAATAAAAGGTTTCCAGAGAGGCATTTTTTTTTTGGGCTTTGGATTTTAAAATGAATCTCGATTTTGTGTGCTTCGTTTTACACTGCTGGCAGCTTTGTGCATTCAGCATGGAAAAACAGAATGGTTCTTTTTCTCTTAAAGAGAGCCATTAAGGGATGTCTCCACAATGCCGGGGCTTATAGTTTCTCGTCTCCTCTTCACTGTGGATGGGGACTTCTCAAGAGAGGCTCTTGATGGCTTGGAAAGAAAGTGAATTAGCCATCTGTGTCTGCTCGTACTGTCAAAAACCACCTATTACAGTGATTAACTGCAAGCCTGGTCAAGTGAACTCCATTAACTGTGAAAGAAGCTTGGCGGAGACAGGAGAAAGTAAAGTCAGTTTGTTAATAAATGTTTGAGGACCTCATGACAGCAGTTATGAATACAGCAGAGTGACAGACTGCATGTCTCCTCATTGGCTTCCACTGCTTCATATTTTTGCTGGTCACATTCTGAATACTGTTGTACATCAAGTCAACAGCAGAAAAAGTGTTGATAGGTTTCTATACTTTATGTCTGGTACGTAAATAAGTGGGGGGTGGGGGTGGGGTGGGAAGAGTTCAACTTTAGAAATACAAAAAGGTGAAAAAAATAAGCATTTGCTTTCGGAAAATGCATTCTAATCTGCTTTTAACACCAATTTGTGTGGCTTGTATTTTAGCTGTCTAGAGTACAGAACATTTATTTCATTAGTCTACAGAGATTTTCAATTAATGCATAGGTAACACGAAAACTGATTTAATAAAAATGCACTAAGGTTGCAGCTGTACATAAGGACTTCTTCCTGGTTATGACTAAAACACAATAATGAATGACTTTGTCACTTTCGGCCTAGTGTCAAAACAGTGCATCACCAGACAAAACCAATACGAATAATAATAATCTAGAGCTGCAGGCGGTTGAGGGCTTCCAATACGGTACACTGTCAAAAAAATACAACAGTAAATCAACAAGGCAGTATGAGTGTAAGGATGTGTATGTTAGTAGCAAAAAAGAATGACTGGAGGGACAGTTACCATGTTTGGTTTTAATTATCTAAACACATTTTGAACAGGAGCATTTTAAATTGGTGCCCATGCTGATAACTGAATGTTGACTTTTTGATATCTAAATTAATCATAAAATATGTGAAGCCTAGCTACAGCAGCAGGTGGGGATGGTTCCGATATTTACCAACTTTCAAATTAATTGGTTCACAGTTTCTGAAGAAGAGGCTGAGAAGGTTTTTGAAAATGCTGCTTAGCTCCAGTATTATTGTACGTATCAGTCGCAAGGGCCAGGGATACTACCTGCCAATTCTGAAGGTTATAAGCAGCAAAGTGTCTGATTACAAGCAAGGACACAAGGGCACAGATCAGCGGTTTATTCTGGAGCAACATGCTAGCATTATTTATCTGCATGTTCTTGATGATACCTGATGATATCCACCAAGTTCACACTCAACTGGCTCTGCAGCAAGTCTTAGCATTTTACTTTTCAAGGAAGATGCCTGGCATATTAGGGAGTTAAGTATCTAAACCAGTTCTGAATAAAGACATGTTGAAATTTGAGAACAAAATGATGACAAGGCAGCCATATTGTTTACGTAGGAACACTACTTCAGAGTTAATACATTAACTTCCTGACCACAAGAGATGCCAATTTACTATCCATTACATTTTTCCCAGAGGTGCGTCAAATATAATGAGAAATTTGCCTTCTTAAAAAACATGCACAAAAAAGAAACAGTTCGAATTGCTTTGTACTGCTTACACCTTTCCAACGCCTCATCATAATGCACTAAAGTCCAATTTACTTGCTTACAGTGTCTCTCACTTTAAGACAGGGAAAGCAGTAAAAAAATAAAGTCAAGTTAAAAAGATTTCCTACCACTGAAACTGACAAAACTTTTATATCCACCAATTTTGACAAACTTCAGCTTCTGAAGTTAAAGTTGAAGCTTTAGAAGAGCAAATATATACAGTATGACAGTCTTCAAATGTATTCAGAGAACTGAAATAGATGCAAGGTCAATAATTTATTTACTGCAATTGGTTTAGATATTATTTCTGACATTTTACACTCTTTCCTTACCTTGTAGTTGTACGTGATCATTTTCAGGCTCTGCCCCTGCCACTCTGTTGTTGCTTTGGTTCTGCAGTATTTTCCCATCTACAGCATCGGTCTTGACTTGCCCCAGGTTAGTTAGGAGACACATGAGGTCAAAGGGCTCCTCGCCATTGTTCTGCAAGTGTTCTAGAACCTTCAGGCGCTTGTAGGACTTGAGCTCACTGAGGTTTTCATCCAGAAAGAGCAGATACAGGCTGAGGTCATTGTAAAACCCAGAGGTGATACTGAAGGTTTCAAATGTGGGTAAGATCTGGTAGACCTTAAGGAAGTCAGCCTTCTTCCACAGTGGAGCCAGAGTAGTATAAATAATTGCAGGTGCCAGTAGGATGTATACTATCAAGTTAATATAGCTAAGCAGCTGGAAAATGCCAACTGCGATAAGCTTGCACTGAAGGAATTTAGGAATAACAGTGTCATTTTTCAAGACTCCTGTGCGAATGTTGCATTTAAACTCATCCGTGATAGAGGCCAGGTTGATGTAGTATCCCAGGTAGATGCAAGCAAATAAAACATTAACAAAAGTCAAGATTCGGCAGATGAGATACTTTATAATTAGGCCCTTGGAAGCCGCCTTCGTCTTGAGGTACTGTTCCACTAATGGGTACTTCAAACACCCTTCGTTTCGATCCAAGGAGCTGTGAGTCACAGAGAACAGGAATTAGCAACAGTACCTGAAGTGTTCAGATGCTCGGTTTCCTTACAGAAGCAAAGCCACTGCGAGACATTTTCTATTTGCCCATTTATTTATATTCTTAATCTCTTTATTAGCATGATGGAAACATTAATCTATTACGAATCAACTAAAATTTTATCCATGTATGTGTCATAGGTGTGCTGAATGCAATTTAATTTCGGAACTTCCCAAGACAGACAGAGGATTTTAGTGCCCTGGTAAATATGCAATGAACCGTCGATTTGCTATATTTTGTAACTTATTCTATGGCTTGTCATTCTTTTCTTGGGGAAAGCTGTCTGCCACAGCAGGCCACAAGTGCCAGCTGCCCTTACAGTGCACATAGCCTGTGCTATGTGGGTGTGTTAAAGCAGGAGCTTTGCAGTCACAAAGCAAAACAGAGTTGAGACTATTTTGCCGTACTGACCAGAAAGGCTTAATTTTAATTGTTCCAGTTTCTACTACCTCTAAATTCCAATATATGCAACTTGGTTCTGTCTCAACAACCAATATTTTACTTCTTTTTCATTCTGCGAAGCCTTCCTTTCGTAACCCATAATCTAATGAACAGCTGCCATCTTGTGGTCATAGTTTGGGTGTAAACTCAGACGGAAGCCCGATATCAACACAGAGTCCTTAGGAAACAGCACAAACTGCAAAATCTTAAGAGCAGAGATTTATGAACTCTAAAACCCAGCTGGAACCACCTATTACCTGTTGATATTGGGGGAAAAAAAGCCATAGACTATTCTAAATTCTAAACACGAGCCCTCCATGGAAAAAGAGCAAAGATGAAGGATGTTGAGCATCATCCTTCACAAGTGGCTCTCTGTACTTAAATGTGGGCACATTGCAGTCGGACAGCTAACTGCGTCACCTGCATGCGTCTCCTGGAAGGCTGGAGTCCACGACTCCGCTGGTCACCAGGTTCTTGGCCAGCTTGATGGCGCGGTTGTAGGAGCGGTCCAGCTCCTCCATGATGAAGTTGAGGTCAGAGAAGAGGTGGGGTGTTGCCGTGAATCTCCAGAAGAGGGACGGGACATACATCAGGATAGCCACCAGCAGGAGAACATAGGGAAAGAACTGCCCAGACGCACCAAGAGAGAGGAAGAGATGTACAGGACGGTCTCAGTGTCTTCAAGACCATCCCAGGTAATAAATATCTGCATTTATTACCTGGGGTGTTTTTGACAAGACTGAGACAAAAACATGGTGGCAAGCTGACTAAAATTAATGCAATCACCAGGACCAAGAGTACAACTCAGCCTTGACAAGACACCAAAGCAAGGTCAAACCAAGTTTTATCCAACAAGTATTCATTACATCTCTTTTCTCATCTGAAAATACGCTGCACCAAAGTGGAACTTATTGATATTAAAAAGAAAAACATTTGGTATACTAAAGGGAAGGACTGCACTGATCCTGAACCTCTGGGGTGACAGAATTCTGCCGGCACAAGCAGACAAATCTCGTCAGAAACCACCATGACTTGCGCTTTTTTTCTGACAGGAAACAGAATGCAATTTAAAAAAACAAATGAACAAATACGATTTTAAGTTTAAAAGTACTTATGGATTAAAAGTAAAGCACTCTTCTGCCACCTTCTGATGCCAAAAGGTATGACATTACATCTAAAAACATTAGTATCAACATTAAAAAGGTTTCTGTGTAAAATTGTAGGCAGACAAAGTTCATTTTAGTTTCACAGTGCGTTTCTAGCTTAAGGAGGTTCTGCGAGAGGGGTGACTGACAATCTCTAGCATTGTGCCGAAAGCATTAATGAAGGCACCACCGTGCCAAGCTTCAGAGCAGGCCCTTTGTCCATGTTTGATCCCCAGATTTTGCTGTCAGCTCGAGGCTCTGTTAATGAGCTGTGTTTTGGGCAGAATCTAAGCTACCAGGGATTTCTCAAGAGCCTTTCTCAGTCTTCCTATAAAAAGGCAGCCAGGAGCAGCTCTGAAGCATAAAAAACAAACAAATAAATCATTTTAAATGGTGAAAATCACCAAAATCCAGAGGGTGTGTTTGACAGAAAAGATTTCAAAACAAGCATGAACTAACAGTAAGAACAACATTAGTGTAGCAGAATAGAGTCCAGTTTTAATCCAATCTTTGACCCATCTGTCACTCTCGAATTCCAGACTTGCAGAGTTTTTGCCCTTCTTGCCAATGAAGTAACTGATAACAGGATGAGCTCTGCAGGCTGACAATGGTAAAGCAGTTACATTTTGATTGAACCTAGATATAATTCCTTTTCTAACACTTCACTCTTTGAAGTAATACTTTTTAAATACAAAAATAAAGATTGGAAATTTCATACAAAATTAGAATCTCTCTCATAGCTGTTAATAATATATTATCACAAAACAAACAGAAAGAAACATGTATAGGCTAACAGGAACAAGTATTTTTTGTTAACTTTGCTTCCTTTAAAACACGATTCAGAAAACAAGACAGAATGTAAACATTCCTTCAAAGCCTTGTGAACAGACTAAGAAAAAAATACTGTATTACAATACAGCACATAAAAACAGATCAAAACAAAGAGCAAGAAGATACATTAACAAGGGAGCAACGTTTCACATGAGAACAATGAACAATTATAGAGGTACAAAAAGGTCAAACCACATTTGTCTGTGGGCTTTATTAGAATTATAAGCAGCAGCAAGAGAAGAGCTTGTAATGATGTATTCAGGTACTCCTCATAAAAAATGACTTAATTTCAGGAGTGTTGTCTTTAAAGGACCATATGGGCCAAATTCTTTGAAACCTTTCTTTCTGAAATGTCTTTATTCTAGGACGTTTTTACTTTGGAGCAGGAAATGGTTAACAGCCATACTTTACATGCATTTCATTCTTGTGTAAAAAATTGGAAAACATTTGGAAGCAGAGAGAAAGCAGAAAGACACCTGCAAGGAGGAACTTTACCATGCTGGGTTAAAAGCTAAATTCACCCCATTCATATGTTCATGTGTAGCACATTTACTGTACATAAGAAAAGTTTAATTCCTCATTAGCATACAATTGCAAGTTGAACACATCTGGGAAAGGCAGGTGATAAGCTTAATTTACAAATTGTAATAATCACTACCAAAAAAATGCCCCTATCAATATAAAATGTGATTATTAGATTTATTTTATAAAACATCAAAATTTTACATTTATTGTATATTTTCCCCCAATCGGCTGCACTATTAAATCCTCTTGCTTTTTTCATCACACAAAAATGAGCCAGATCTCAACAGTGTTTGATGATCATTAGTAGATTTGTGATGGGTCTCTAAGAAAAGCAATTTGTATTTATTTTTTAAATGGAAAGCAGGAGCCAAGAACACATAACATCCAGCCTTAATATATATACAGAAGAAAGAAGCGATTTTAAAGCCCTACAATCATGCAAGAGCGGGCTCCCATATTTTCAACGTTTTACACAAAGAAGAATCTGACAATAAAAACAGATATTGAGAGGGGCAGAGGCTTATTGCTATACAACAGATATTGAGAGGGGCAGAGGCTTATTTCTATACTGCATATTTCGCTGCTAGGACAACAACAAAAAAGGTCCTTTACCCCAAGTTTACAATAAAATTGAAACCACATTTGTCAGACCACCAAAAATCAATCCCCTCACACATATAAGTGATACACAATGTTTTATTATATGATATTGATGCGTTTTGTTATGATATGTCTCAAAACACATCCCACAGCCCCAGCATAGTTAAATAAAAATAGCGACTGGTTTATATTTGAAAAGGCAACAAGATATTCATTTAATTCCTTAAATAAAACAATGTATGGCTTTGAGGAGTTAACTATGTACACTCTGTAAAAAATAAATGCCAAACATTCTGCTGTTAAGTGGCGAATACAACTTGAAAAGCAGGATTCTTCTCAAGCTCAGTTACTTTGTGCAGGATGCTACTAAAATACATCCAAAGGCTGGCATCGATACCGAGAGCAGAAAACTTCCCAGAATTTTCTATCTATATCGTATTATAAATCAATGTTAGGGTCTCACATGACAGATCTTTTGTACAGACAAAAAAAATACTATAATCTTCTGCTACTGTCAACTTTCTGGGAAATGTATTTTAAAACTTCCAAGTAATTTCACAGGATACCACATTTTTCTGCATTTTTTAAATTGACTTTATTTTAAGACTTCCAAGCGATAACACAGGATACCACTTTTGTTGTGCATTTTTTTTAAAAAACAAGCCCGTTTAATCTGCACTTTGGGAATGTGTGTGCCGTTCGCAAATTTTTCAGCAGAAAACAGATAAGATTCCCTGATGTCCTAACCAGCATTTTTTAAAGATACCTTCTCTTCCAACCTGTGCTTATGTTTCATAAAACACTTGCTAATGATGTTAACAGTTTTCTTACATATCTACTAAGGGGGCATTTAACTATGTGAGTACACATTTACTTTAACCTGTTATAGGATTTTATTTGCTTTTGTAAGCGTTCAGAATTTTTTTTTGTGAATCAGGCTGTTAATGCTTAGAAAGCACTCTGAACGTGTGTGCCACCATTATCTTTGATGATCTTCATCAGTATCTTTTTATACTGTATGCACCACTCCCACAACACTGGCAAATGAACCGGAGTAACAGGAGCTGCTCTGAAGGGTAATCTTCGGCGCCTGACAGCTGCAACATAATTTGGGACTAAATTTAGTTTTACACCAGACAAGTACACTTGCTGTACTTGAACAAACCATGTTGCCGAAACAACAGCAGTCCTGCGGTACTGTGCCATTCTATTGTGCATGCTAGGGAGGGCAGATTGCAAACCTTACCTTGTGTAGCCAGAGGGGCAACAGACCAGCATCACTGTGTGATAAGTGCTGCTGCTGTACAGCAGCCCAGCAGAACGAGTCCACGTAGGCAGCCTGACGCCAGGAGAAATTGGTTGGGGAAAAACAGCTGATCTGGGTACCTAGGGGAGACAGTGGAGCCAGAAAACAAGGGATCAGTAAGCACATAACAGCTGGAAAAGCACAGAAGGTCTATTAGCAACTGAAAGATTTCCAAGACATAGCAGGGAAAAAAATCTTAAACATAAAAAAGTAAAAAGAATTAAAAAAGATGTCCTGCTATTCCTGTGTGATATACTGTAGTGCACAGTGAGAGTATGGAAAGACATTTTTCATATAAGAGCCTCCTGGACTCTTTCATTCATTCAGTTTTAATAGCAGACCATGGATCTTAGTGTCACCAAAGCCCTCCTGGTATTTTTGGGATACCAAAAAAAACAAGCTGGGTCTAATTTCAGAGACTCATAAAGAACATGATGGCTCCCTACCAATTCCATAATCGGGATATATTCTCATTCAAGCTGGACTCCAACACTAATAGAAGAGCCTGTGAAATTATGAAAAATATATTTTGCGTTACTGTCCATAGACATTCTTTTTCCTTCAGCTTAGGATCCAGGTAGGTGTTACTGTTTGGCTATTACAATAACACTGTCCCAAAACTCCTTCGCAGGAATTACTTTTTAAAACAAACTTTACATCAGAGATGAACCCTCGGATTCCCTATTCCAACATGATTTATGTTGCAAGTATATTAACAGTTAAGTATATCTATTAGGGCAGAATGATACGTTTTACTTCTAGGTTACCATCATGTGAGGAACCTGATTTTTTTAAAAACATGTTTAACTGGAAAAATTTGAATGTGAGACAGTTTCAAAGACAATGTAAACACCAATGGCATACAAATGTGAACTCAATGAAAAGTTTCAAAAATCCAAACTATTTGACCAGAAGTTATTTTCTTGTAGCTCTCTTCCTTCTAACTATGCTAGAAGATGGGTGTGACTGAATATTCTCATTACAGATTGCCTGAACAGCTTTGGATAATAAATTAACGTCACTAAGAAGTTCTAGTTGCAAGAATTTTTATATACAGTAAAATAAGCAAAATTAGTCGCGACTAATTAGTCGCAGATGCGGACACAGACTGAGAAAGTTCCTCCGTGCTTTCTGTTGACTCTAAACAAAGATATTTTTAAATCACCATTCTCACTGCTGTAGATTCTGAGAAGGGGCCTGTCACTGTTGTGGAGATCTCAATTCAGAGGCATTTTGACATTTCATGGCCTTTGATCAATTCTAAGTTTTTCGTCCTGATTTCAAGCGAATTAGATTTTTTCTCCAGGGCATCCATTCAAGATTCTGAGAAGATCATGCATTGAACTACACCATCAAACTTAACTTCACAGTTCCAGACTAAAAACATTCAGTTTCTTTAGTCTGTCTGAGTTTATCATTCTCTTCATGGCCACAAATAAATCTGGTTTCTCATTTTAATGCCTCTAGTACAGAAATATCCTTATTGTACCTTGGTAACCATAGCCAAACAAACTTCTTAGCAAGGTTTAACTAATACATTGCCTTTGTACTGATCTTGGCCATACTCCACTAATGACCTCATTTCAATCCAATAATTTACCAACAACTTTTATCTGTATTTTAACAAATGTATCCATGTGCTCATACTACAGTAGATTCCTACAGCTTTAATCTTGAGTACTTTGTGAAAGATTTCTGAAAGCAATTTCTCAGCAGGGTCAGTGTCAAACTGATGTCAATGCGGTTGTTTATAGACTGAAAGCACGCATTTGAATTTAATCAAATTGTCAGGTGTATCCAAAAACATGAAATCAATGATCATTCTGTGTATTTACTGTGTTCATTGTCTTCTTGGCAAGAAAAAATGTTGTAATTTGCAGCTGTATTCCTCAAGTGTGCTGGATTCATTCTAGAGGACTAACAGAAGGTTTTTGTCTCTGTTGCTTGTATAAAACACAAGCTGCATTGTGGTGCCCAGGCACCAAAATCATGATTTCTGATGGTTTATGTATGGCCTTACATCACATGTTACTCCTAGTGACACAAGTGTGTGCATGACTTTGTAAACAACTCTAGACACAAACATCTTTAGTTTTGTTCCACTAGAGATTAGGGTGCCTTTATTTCACATGCAAAATCATTTCCTCTTAATTCTGTTCTTAGTATTCACTAAAATTACTTTTTAACAAGAGAGAAATACTAAGTATTGTTTAGCTCTCTTTTTTTAATTGGATTTTGTTTTCAGTGTTGTTTTTTCCCCAACTTTTAGGCCACTCAAAAATAAGACAAAAAATAAAGCAAGGTCTATACCAGAAAAGGCATAGAACTATACAAATTTTAGTGTACTTTTAAGAAACAGACTCTGAACAGAACATACTATACTTTTTATGTACTACATACTATAATTTGTACTTAATGTAGGTAAATTGAGAATATTTAAATGAGGTCTGAAAAATAAAGGTCAGAATAAACACCACAAGACACAAGGGACTCCAGGAACTGGGTTAGAGTCCCTTATCCATGTATAGTTTTATCATAACACAAAATAAACAGGAGCAGAAAATCAGCACATCAAGATTGACCCAAAATATTTACTCCGCTCTTCTGGTTAACAAGATCATGTGCTGCTGTATTCCAGTCAGCATGTAATCTAATAAAATAGATCACTAACTCCTGAGGACAGCAACGTGCCTGCAATTTCCTGGTCAATAAACACAAATACAGGATACCACAGCTAGTCTGATGTGAGATCAGCACTGTGGCCAACCTCAACACAGACTGCCTTAAAACATGCTACACAATTCCCATAGTCTATAACGCGGGTTCACACAAGTCACAAACGTGGATATGAAAACACAGACACTAATATGCTATTATATATAAAATATATTACCCTTTCAAACTCTGTCGTACAGTGTGTGCCACTTCAGAGCACTGCATTGACAGTATAAGATTACTTTATCGTACATATACAATTTCTTGTATTAGGAATTTGTCTTTTCGCATACCCCAACTTGCTCTCCATGAGACACGCAGACAGGGAGAGAAACTTGGGGTCAGAGCACAGGGTCAGCCATTTATACGGTGCCCCTGGAGCAGTTGGTGTAAAGGGCATTGCTCAGGGGCCCAAAGGAGTAGGATTCCTCCGCCAGTCACGGGATACGAACCGGCAACCTTCCAGCCACAGGCATAGATCCTCAGCCACAGAGCCACCACACCGCCCTACAGTATATATATATACACATATGCATGCAGGTCACACCTGAATCTTATGCTTCACATTTAAATGTTATGCTTTTGCACTATATTGTTATTTGTATTACATTGATTTATGTACTCTATATATACACAATAATTAAGTGGATTTTACAGACTTGTACACTGTTTTTATTGTCGTCTCAGTGAGGCAGGAAAGTTCCATTGTATGCAGACTATTAGACTGATTTTGACACTTCTCATGTTTGTTATGCAACTCCATTTACAAATTTCATCTGTTGTGACAGCTTGTTTCAGCAAAATATAATATGTCTAGCAAGGTCTCCAGTCCTGTTCAGCTCTCTTGCCCATTCACTTGCTTGTACGTGGTTTATAATACAGAATACCAAAATATACATACAGTACACTGATCTTCTCCACCAGGGCTTGTCAGCTCCAGGAGGTTATCAGGACCCCCACACTCACTGGCTTTAACCCTTAACTGAACCAATCTGTCAGGTCCCACACCCTGCATACAGGGGTGCACAGCATTTCCAGGGAAAGCCCAGCTCCCTTACGAAATCTCCAGGGGGACAATTCATTTGAGCAAATAGATCGCCCACGTCTTTAGGAGGTGGGAGAAAATCATAACATTTATCAAAAACCCACAAGAAAGACACAAAGAATTCTAAACTCCCTGACAGACAGAAGCTCCTATATGGAAGCAAACCCAGCACCAAATGGAACTACTAAATTTCTTACTGTATATGTTTCTTGAAATTGTCACCTATCTGTACTCTGCTTACAAATTCAAACAAGAACATAGGAAAGAGCTAAAAGTGATGAAAGAGGATAACTAAACTAATAAAATTGTTAATTTAAGGTTTCATCCAGCACAGGCAGAGTGCTGAAGCCCAGAACTGGGGATCACTTATCAAAAGGACAAAAGATAGAATTTGTGAGCTGTGCACTGTCCTACTTTATGAGAGGGAAGTACACACTTGAGAAAAACACAGTAGTTTCTTGATGCTGGCAGAGACATTTCAATTACAAAATAAATCTGATATCCCAAGGATTGAAATCTCTTGTTGTTAGCTCATCTGTGGCATGCACTAATGTTATATCTCACCAGTACATCAAAGGATTTTAAGAAACTGATTTTGTTTATGCTCAAAAAACTATGTACAGTAAAAATTTAAATTCACTTCTGATTGAATGTTAGTAAATTATGTTAGTTCTTTCACAATAAGCAGGAAGAGCAGTGTTCCGAATACAAGTTCTTGTGGCGCTCCAGAAAATCCATCATCCCAAACAAAACAACAGTTCTTTATTCTGTTTTATCGGAATTGCAAATAATAATTAATACAGAGCTTTGTTGTGCCTTAGCCTGATGCATGCTCTTCCTTGGTAAACAAGAGACTGAAACATAAATTTAAATATTTTAGCTATTTCCCTTGAATCCTCTTGAAGTTTCCATTAGTATGCAAACAACATGAAACCTACTTGGGTGCATACATAAACGTTCCCCTCTGTAACAGATCTGCATTAAAACCCACTTTCTGTTTGTCACAGAAGGGCAAACTGCTACAGGTAAAGTATGCAATTGGAAAAGAGATCATACAGTACTTGACTGATCAACTGATCGGTCTTTAACAACAACAAAGGTTATACAACCTATTCCTGGAATTAGATAATTAGGTTAACCTTCTTTTAACCACATGCATATTTAACGCGTAGAAAGGTTTAATATCAAAAGCAGATGTGGGCCTTCAGGCTATGTTCAAAGTTGAAATTCAAAGTGATACCCCCAAATAACATATTCAAATAAATTATGAGAACGTGACTATTTGCATTTGACATGCATGGAATTAATTGAAAACGGTTTCATGCGATTACGCGGACCATCACTCTGTGGCAGAAGTATGGATATTTTGTATTGCTCTGCGTATGCAGTTCATAGATAAAAGCCTTAATGTGTTGCCGTCAACTTCAATTGTTACAATATAGATTCGTCATGTTAACAAACAGTATAAAATGAGACCTGTTAGGACTCCAAAGTCATTAGTAGGAAACTCTAGCTTTGTAAAATTATTCGTGCAGAAATCAAGCTTTAAACTACTTTTCGGAGGTACTACAACAAGAGCCGCTTGGCTTTCTGAAGAAAAACAAATATTAGGGCACACCGACCGCTAAAATTAAATCTTCAGGACAGAGAAGCCATGACATTTCTGTAATTGTTAATGTTAGGCCTACATCTAATCAAGTATATTTACCGTCATGCACTCTATTGAAATAATGTTAAACTGCTATGAATAGAAGCAATAACTATATTTAACATACAAGAACGTACTGCTGTTTGAAGATAGAGGATGACTGGCAAACTTAATTTTTTATCGGCACGATAACAGCTGCTATAGAAGTTACGTTAAAGCCGTTTAAAAGCAGTGATTAAACATAACCTTATTACTTACACTGCTCCGGAAGATTTCCGATTGCGTAAAGAAATAATGAGACGGAGCAAGTGAACTAGCAATAATTGATTAGATTTGTTTACTACTTTTTCTATATTTGATTTTCGATAACCTGACTCATTTAAGCATATACACACGCGCATATGGTTCATATCTTTAACAAGCGATTAGATTGTAAAACTGACGCAGCACATCCAGACAAACTAACCGCAGGAACAATGCCAAGAAAATGGAGCAATGCACATTTGTAATACCATCGTGCGTTTTCACTGCCACTTACCTACTGACACCTCCTGTGCAAACGCCAGTGAAATCAGCAACAAAGGAAGACCAACTGCAATGCAAGTGACCATCTTATCCACAGCAAGTTCCAGTCTCACCCCTTTGTATTTAGATTCCGATGGTTCTTTCAACAAAAAATCCGAAAAAACGTATTCTGAAGCCAAATGTGCAATCGCCATGGTTTTTCGATATGTAGCCGGGTAGGTTTGCTCTGTGTTAAAGATCCCTCCTCACTTGAAACTAAAAATCCCGGCCTGGCAAATAAACAGTCACCGTTCAGAAAACAAGGATTTGTAGGTCTTGAAGTTTCATACAACTCGATCTGAGTTCAAAGTAAGTTTATTTCAACGCGTACTACCACGATAACAGCTAAACACTATTGTTTTACACCCGGCACCCAAGTAAATCATCTTGGTATGTTTATCTCATCCAGTCCAGGACACATTTTCCTCCCTTTTTTATTTCGCGTGCTTCTTGTCTTCCGGGTTGGACTGTTTAAGGTAGTATAGAATTTAGCAAACGTGGTTAAATGTATTACAAAGCTATAGTTCAAAACACTCTCTTGAAATATCACCGGTCAGAGATCTGTCATAAATTAGACTTAAGATATATTAATAAGGGACACTGTCAAAGTTTTGTAGCTGTATAAATCTATAAATCACGTTCATACGACCTTAAAACTAAAGACGCTACAGAAAGGTGCTTTCCGAAAATTAAACTTGGGAGAGCATGAGCTCCTTTTAAGGTTAGATCATCTTCACATCTGTCAAATACATACTGAAATAATGTCGTGGTCCAATATATAAATATATTTATATAGAAAATTAAAAAAATCTTCATTAAATTCCTTATATAACACGTTTCTGGGCACTCCACCCAAGGCTCTTTACAGGTAATAGGGGACTCCCCTCCACCACCTAATCCTAGCCCCACCTGGATGATGCAACGGCAGCCAAAGTGCACCAGTACGCTCACCACACAGCTGTCAGTGGGGAGGAGAGTATTAATCCCCCTCTATGAATTGGCTTCATTACTCTGCTCTCCTCCCCACTGATAGCTCATGTGTGGTGAGCGTTCTGGCGCACTATGGCTGCCGTCGCATCATCCAGGTGGGGCTGCACATTGGTGGTGGTGGAGGGGAGTCCCCATTACCTGTAAAGCGCTATGAGTGGAGTGTCCAGAAAAGCGCTATATACTGTAAGTATAAGCAATTATTATTATTATTATTATTATTAATAAAAGCTGGGAGGAAATTGGGCCAGGACACCGGGGTAACAGCCCTACTCTTTTCTAGAAAAGCCTTGATCACAGAGGGTCAGGACCTCAGTTTTAAATTTCATCCAAACAACGTCGTCTTTTTTACAGTATAGTGTCCCCATCGCTATACTTAGGCATTAGGACCCACACAGACTGTTCCCACTAACACCTCTTCCAGCAGCAAACTTACAGTAGCTTTCCCAGGAGGTCTCGCATCCAGGTACTGAGCAGGCTGACAGTTGTCAAATGCAAATCAAATTAAAAAGCCAAAATATTTTATATTAACTACACACCCTGTTTTCATTTTTTAATACTTTTCTTATTTAGACTTTGTTTTAATTTAGATTGATCAAGTTTATTTTGTTACAGTCCATTGTGAGACAGTATGTAATACTCACCAATACTCCTTGATCATCACTTACCTACGACCACTTCAGAAAAAGAATGATGGATCACAAGAGGCTTAAACGTGAGACTTAATGTTTCATAACTGAGACAGTTTTAATGTATCATCAAAAGACACTGCACCTTTTTCAGGATACATTGATGAGTTCTACAAAATTATTTGTGAACATCTTTATTACTACATTTCAAAGAACCAAACATGAAAATGGCTCATGCTATATACAGTATACTGTAGCAATGTCAAATGCTTGACACTATTTCTGACTTAAATGAGCTACTGTAATTTGTTTACCAAAATTAATGTGTTAATTCATAAGACATTTCTGTTTTAATAATAATAATTAATAATTAATATAGCGCTTTTCTGAACACTCCACTCATAGAGCTTTACAGGTAATGGGGACTCCCCTCCACCACCAATGTGCAGCATCCACCTGGATGATGCGATGGCAGCCATAGTGCGCCAGAACGCTCACCACACATCAGCGATCAGTGGGGAGGAGAGCAGAGTAATGAAGCCAATTCATAGATAGGGATTATTAGGAGGCCATGATTGGTAAGGGCCAATGGGAAATTTGGCCAGGATGCCGGGGTTACACCCCTAATCTTTTCGAGAAACACCTTGGGATTTTTAATGACCACAGAGAGTCAGGACCTTGCTTTTACGTCTAATCCGAAGGACGGCGCCTGTTTACAGTATAGTGTCCCCGTCACTATACTGGGGCATTAGGACCCACACAGACTGCAGGGTGAGCGCCCCCTGCTGGCCCCACTAACACCTCTTCCAGCAGCAACCTAAGTTGTTCCCAGGATGTCTCCCATCCAGGTACAGCTTAGCTTCAGTGGGCTGCTAGTTGTGAGTTGCAGGGTGATATGGCTGCTGAATTTTAAGACTTGTTGGACTGTCCACCTCCAGGTGCATAGCACTAAGTTCCATGGAGGTTAACAATAAAACCACCCTACAATGCACTTATCAGCATCATTGTATCACCCTTCCATTATGTAATTTTAGGGACCCTAAAATACATTTTAAATTTCTGTTATTAATGAACATTAAAAAAATGTTTTCTTATTGCCAAACACACCAAGACCCTGTTGTTTTCCGTGTCCCATAAACTTTACATCTATTGCATCAATGAGCAGGCAGCCCTCTTGAATACAAAAGATCTACATCATTGCTTTAGAAAAAGAAATTGTGACACATTGACAATCCAGAGCTTATTACATTATCAATCATTATCAGGTGGACTATCCAAATCTGAGAAAATGTGTGAAAAAAGCAGACTGTGAGAGTGAGATTTGAACTCTTTTATTTACAGTAACTAAAAGTAAACTCCAGTAAACATAAACCTTGCCCTTTTGTCATTATCAAAGTGCAGTACATAGATTATGATGTGCTTTTGTATTCTTCAAGTCTTTATCCATGTCTTTTGTTAAACAGTGCAATTCTACCATGACAGCGAAAAATGCTTTCCTTCATTATATCTAACAACAGTATTTGTATGCTGAAATTGTTAACTGTTTTGCTTGTTTTCTTTCTAAACTGCAACAGTACAAAACCAAGATTCCCTTTGCAGACTGTTGAAAATCGAAAAATGAACAATATTTGTCCGCATTCTACTGTGTTGGTTTTTTAGTTATTCTGTTTCTTTAAATGTCTCCTGTTTTTAAAAATTATACTGCCACTTAATAACCAGTGATGCACGTTTCCAATGACAGTTAATAATGATATGACTGGCACACTCATTGTTTTTAACATATTTTGGTATCGACTTGCATATTGCATTGAGCATCTAATCAAACACACAATCATTTTCTTTGCTATACGCTTTGCAGTGTTTAACTGATTGCCTTGATATAATCTAAATCAGGAAATTCCTAATTCTGTACACCTTTCTAGGTACACTAAAGCCATATGTGTATGTATGTAAAATTTAAAACAAAATTAAAAAAACCCATAATTGAAAAACCCTTTTGTGCAAATTATGACTGACAGCACTGTTAAAAGGAGTGAATTTTTTAACAGAAAGAAAAAGCTGTCACAAGAGATTTCTAAACTTTTACCACAAGCTCTTACCACAAATGCTTCGATTATGTTGTCATAAGAGTGCATTATCTGTCAGGGTTGGATTGGAAAATAAGTTGTTCATCTTTAAAAAAGTACAGAATGCAGTAATCCAAGGCCAAAGAGTGTCATCATTCTGACATTTCCTTCTGTGTCCTCCAGCTCTTTGCCACAAAAGGTGATTTTCAATGAATGGGCAGCTGTTAAAAGACAGCACAGAAAAGAGTGTCAATGTGCTTTAATAATGGGCAATACAACCTGCAGGAATTCAGAAGGTCCTCCTTACTTTTATAAAGCTATTTAATACATTCCAATAAATATGACACATGATCTAGCCACACAAAGACATTATGTTCATATTCTTACTATAACAACACGAAGAAGAACAAGAGTAAGAATTACCATTTGGAATGGTGTTCATGGTCTCTTCGGGGGTTGTGAAATCACCTAGAAATATTGTTCAATGTTATTTACTATAATGTGACATGACGTTTTGCAAGAAACATACATGTAGTACACATAAGGATATTTATTTTACCGGTTATTCATCAGAATTGATTTGTAATATAAACCTCATGTGTAATGTAATAATGTCATAGTGTATAGTACGTCCCCAAACACACAAGTAGTTACTAAGACATTTCTTAAACTTTAAAAAGCAGTTGCAGTATGGCAGAAGTAGGATATGAGATTTATATACGTATGATAGGCAGTTAAAGAAGATCAGTGAAAACAGATTGGCAGAGATACTCTGGTTCTCACCTTTTCTACTAAAGATAGTAAATGTTGTCTCCATGCCAGCATGAATATGATTAATCACATGGCAGTGCAGAAGCCAGGTTCCTGGATTGTCTGCCAGCAACTCTACCGTCTGAAAGGTCCCAGGAAACAGGTCATACACATCACCCCTATGGGACCTTTCAGTCTGCAATGGAAACAAACCACCAGACACATCACCATCTGCACAACCGGAGCTGACTAGACAATCGTAAGTGGAGTATTGTAGCATAGACATCTGCCTTGAGCAAAATGTATTCTTTTTCAATTCAAAAAGCTTTCTTTAAACCTCTTTAGCCAGCAAACAAGAAAAATCAAATATCAAAATACTGCGTACAAATGTTCCTTCACCTAACACTACCCACAAAGTAAGAGCAAGTCTGGTCCCAAAGCAGAGATTATAAGTGACAGAGAAATTTTAAAAATCCTTATTAATAACGGCTGTTTTTATTGGATTATGCTGTAGATGCCCTAATTAAAGGAAAGCTATGAATACCCTTGAAATTCCAATCTCCTATACAACATTATACAAACAGCTCTTATAAAAGTATTGCATAGTTAATCAGCTTGGTAACAGGATCAAAAACTAGAGTACCTTGTATATAAAGCTTTGCGCGTGGAAATGGACTGTGTGGATGTCCACCTCATTTCCCATTCCCAGAAGATACCAGTCAGTCTTCTCACCTTCTGTCATTGTCAGGCCGTGAAGATTGCCATAGAGTTTTCCATTGATCGCTTAAAGAAACACATGCTTTACTACAGTTAAAATGGAATCATTCGTTAAGAATGTTGACATATTCTTCCATTTGCCTTGCACTACTGTATTAGACTGTACTGTTAGCATGATCCAAACTGACAGCCCATGTACGTTATTCTTCAGGAATGAGAAAGTGCAATCAGTCCGGCTGGCATGTGTTCTGACTGAAATTTCATAGAATCAAATGCAAGGTTATTTAACGCTGTATGGCATTACAAAAATTCCAAACACAGATGTAATTACTTTGCCCGTCTGTTAATGATTTTTATTAAGCTAACCATAATAGTACTGTACATAACTGAGTAAATGTGCTTTGCAACAATTGTGTTTTTAGACAGAATTTTATCATGTTGTATATTATGGTCTAAACCAGACATTTAAATGAATTCAGACAAACTTACTGCATCCAGAATTTGTGTTTTTTTTTTCCCATTCATAAGGCTTACCGTGCATTTTATTGCTTTTCAGAAAATCTTCATTTCTTTCAATGTCTTCTGGCTCTTTGTGCAGGTACGTTCTGATGTTATCGTCCAGATACCCGGAATTATTTTCATCAAACACCATGAAAAGAAGAGCAAATTCCCTGTCCACATCTGTTCTTTTTCTCATCTTGTTGAGAATTCCTTTTCGGCAGATAATCAGGGGTCCTATTAATCCACTGTAAATGTCCTGAAAAGGTAAAGGGAAGAATAAGTAGCGGCAAATATTTCAGCCAAGCTGGGTTAATAGATTCAGTCCTACACCACATAAGCTCCAACCTGCTTCTCCTTGTTTTGTACAAATAATACAAATATTGATTTGTCTAGGAAATTTGTACTCAACAGTGAACAGGCATTATTTTCTGTCCCAAAGTATTTGATTGGCTATTATCAGAACCTTGCTTCGGCGGAGATTTCATAAGTGAGCTGAGCTATTGATTGGATATATTTAACTGTTGAGAAAAATCCTAATTCATTGGCTGGTATTTTAACACATTAATCTTCTGTCAGCTCTGATGAAGTTCCACATCACATTATCATGTGTGAGAAAATCTAAATTCCTTATGACTTCATCTTTTTTTCAGTGACGTGTCAACTAGAGGATAAGCAGTTATTATTTCTATCAAAATTGTATATGAGTAATAGGTAAAAGGTTAATAATCCTTGGATATTATGAAAAACTTTAATCTCCTGTTTGTATGAGTCATTAGTTCTTAGAATGAAGTAAACTATAGCACATTTGGTGGGAGCTGTGTTTGTTTTCATGGATGCTATAAAAACTATTAATCCCTTCTATAACCAACCTTTAAATAATCCACTGAAGAATAATACGCATAGGATATGCAGTTTGGGTCAGAAGTCCCAGGACCTGATCTTTCCAGAACTTCCCACTGGTATCCCACCAATTTACCTTTAAAAAAATGTTGAAGTGGAAAGAAAGCAAGTGTTAGGGATTCGGTAAGAGAAACCGAAACCAGTGAATGAACCCACTTGCAGGAGCTGATAAAGCCTAGCCGTGATCCAAAGAAAGCCGTAGTCGAAGAAACGAGCCGAGAGTCCAGGGGGAAGCCAGAGATCCAAACAGGGAACGAGTTACCGAAGCCAAACCGTGATCCGAAACCGTAGACGATAGAGCAATCCGAGAGTCCAGGGGAAGCCAGAGATCCAAAACAGAGAGTGAGTACCAAAGCCAAGCCGTGATCCGAAAAACCGTCGCAAAGCAGAAAAAGGAGTAGGCGCAACTAGGAAGCTCGAAAGGAAAACCAATACTGAGCGAGGAGGTAGGAAAAGACAGCTGTTTAAGTACAGGATGAGACGGGGGTGTGGTGGTGAATAAGTAAACTGATAGGTAGACTGATGAAGTAAGGCTACACCTTCTTCTGCCTCTTCCGTTGCCGGGAGGCAGAGATCGTAACAGCAAGTTGCTATCAGTAAAAAATATACTTTACTTGCTAATATACCTATAACCAGCAGCCATATCACCCTGCAACTCACAACTGGCAACACACTGAGGCTAAGCTGGTGTGAGCCTGTTCAGTACCTGGATGATAGACCTTCTGGGGAAAAACTAATGCCCTGGGGACACTATACTGTAAAAAGGTGCTGTCCTTCGGATGAGACATAAAATTGCAATCCTGACTCTCTGTAGTCATTAAAAATCCCAGGGCATTTCTCTAACCCTGGTGTCCTGGCCAAAGTTCCCCTTGGCCCTTCCCAATCATGGCCTCTTAATAATCCCCATCTACTGCATGAATTGGCTTCATTACTCTGTTCTCCTCCGCACTAATAGCTGATGTGTGGTGAGTGTTCTGGCAAACTATGGCTGCCGTCGCATCATCCAGGTGGATGCTGCACATTGGTGGTGGTGGAGGGGAATCCCCATTACCTGTAAAGCGCTTTGATTGGACTGTCCAGAAAAGTGCTATATAAGTGTAAGCAATTATTATTATAATACTGTAAACTAATAATACTCTGTCATAATCTAGATTCAAGTACTACAAAAGAAGATTGTAGTGGATCATAAATACCTAAAATACAGTAAATCCAAAGCTTTTTACAAATATACTTTTATGCAACATTTCTCTGGTGCAAAAATGGTCTTAAATTGGTTACAAAAATCGGAAATTATGTATCATTTTATGTCCTTCAATGGTTTATTTTCTTTGGTAGTGCAAGACAAGAAATTGGAAAGAAAAAATATATATTTGTTATCAGGACTACAAGGAATTCTCATAGCATACTACTTTTATCTTATTTTTCAATTTTCTTTAAATTGTATTCATTCTTCTAAAAGTGAAGTGCTTAAAGATTGCAAAAGACAAAAAAAAACCCTCATACCCGGTTCAGCAACAGGCACTACAGGAGCCACCTGCTGCACTCCGTGAGCATGAATGGAAAAGGGACGACTGGCCTTGTTCTTGAAATGAACCACAACCTCCTCTCCAACCTCAGCTCTTATTACTGGACCTTGGAAAGTTGAGCAGAAACAACTGTCACCAGAGGTCAATATTTCAGTGTTTACAGCAAGATGCACATGAAGGTATATTAGGGAACTTCTAGTGTCTGCAATTCTTGACAGCTGTCATTTGTGTTTGTAGTAAATAAATTCAGGTAAAAGTATAATGAAATAAGTGACTGTACCCAGTATCTCCAGATGCTGTTCTTGTGGTGGTCTCTTCTTCTGTTGAGTGAATGTAATATCAGTGTACTCCCTGTACACAACCTTCTTATACTTGGATCCTATCCGGTCCTCCCCTTGGCCTACAAATATATTCCCGTAACTGGAAAGGAAAATTAGCAATACAGCATGTTGCTGAGGTACAAGACCATTACAATCCATATTACCCAGACTAAACTCTATTTTTTTAAAGTACAGACTTCCTTTGTTTCACCATATCAAGGGAAAACGCTGTGGTGATCTAAAAAAAGTGACCACAGCTTGGGGTACAGTTGAGACGTTTATTGCTGGGAAGTAAATGCTACATTTCGGTCATTTGTACAGGTATGTTTGCTTTAAACATTACAGTTGCCAAAAGTGCATGAATCCAGCAAAACTGAGCTGTTCTGTTTTGTCAGCCCCAAACATTCATGAGAAGTTCCTACTGATTTCCTTTCTTGCCAAAAATTACACAAAATATTGAACTAACAAACATACAGTATATGTACAATATTGTGACTATAAAAAGACACAAAGGTACCATTCGTACTTGCTAAACTGATGTTTGTAGTCTCTGGTATCTCCAAAATGTGTTCATTTCACACTTACAGTACAATTGCATATACCTTTCATTCTTGGAGGCATTGTGCTTCTCCAGTTCCCAGGACCTGTCAGGTGAATAATCCCACTCTACTTCCTCAGCTGCAATGAAGTATACTGCTCTTGTGGTGACAGGAAGTGGATCTGGGGAATTTCTGTCTTCACACTTCTTCACAGAGTACAGCTGCCTCATTCCAGCCATGTAATGGTCTGTTGTTCTGCAGTTAACCTCAAAAGTACCTACAGGAGACCAGTTGAAGACATGATGGTTTCCAACACAATAAGAGCACAATTTCTCTTTTTGGTCTGCTATACAGATTAAAATATTGCACATGTATTACAGAATATGGTGATATCATTCAGAAAGGTGCAGGATCCAATATTATGTTTTCTCAAATTATTATTAGGAAAATAAATGTGAAAAGACAAAAGTTTGAAGCCCTTCATACATAATCCTCAAATGAGTAGTATTTCTAAGGTGCTCTACAAGGTGACTGTTAATCACTCTGTCAGTTAATGGCTCTGATTCCAACTGGATCAATTCAATCCTTAAACACACTCTAACCCCTCACTTACCATTGGTGTTAGTCTCCATGGTTACTGTGACAGCTGTGTGCGGGAATAGGCTGAGTGTGTCTCGGTTTGTCCCTTGTCTCACAAACGTGTTTCCTTGGAAATAGACGCCGTGTACATCCACTTCGGTCCCCAGGCCCAGCATGTGCCAAGACACCTTGTCCCCCTCACACATCTCCAAGCCAGGCAAATTCCCATACATGTAACCATTGACAGCTGGAATAAGCAAAGAAATTTACTGTCACCCTTAACAAATAAAGCTAAACTATGACTTGTCGTTTGAAGTGTGAACAGATTTAAAACAAGAAGTGTTCACGCTTCAAATGTACAAGTCATTTAAACTGAGGCTTTGAAGGCAGAAACATAATGATCTTTAAAATAACTAGACCCCATACTACAAACATAAATGAATAGCTGTCAAAGTTATTACAAAGACATTTACAAAGATTTAAACATGTCCATCTCAGTTGGTTTTTTGAATGTAAAAATATTATTAAGATTATTAAGTGATACTACTATTCAGGTCATTCATTAACAGGTGATGTGAATAAAGGTAAATACCATGCATTTTATTGGATTCTTGAAAGTCTTTATCCTCTTTGTCTGTGAACTGTGTTCCAAACCTCTGGATATTGTTTTCTAGATACCAGCTGAGATTCTCATCAAACACCGTGAAGAGCAGGAAAAACTCTTGCTGAAAGAAACAGACCCACCAAAAAGTCCTCCATGAGGTACATTCTGTAGCTTTGAACAAAATCTTTCAGACAAGAAACCAGGGCTTTTGCTTTATCAGAGAAGAGTATAGTCAGCATAAACATACCTTATTGATTTATTTCATACATTTGGCAGAAAAACGTACCTGCAGGCCCTTCTCATTCAGGGTGTTCTTTCTGCACACTAACAGGGGCCCCATGAGCCCTGAGTTAGTGTCATGCACCGGGGAGCTAGAGGAATAGTAGAGGTAAGAGATACAGGCGGGATCACTTGAGGATGGGCCTTCAGTCACTGCCCACCTGTACGTGAAAACTTCATGGGGCTGAACTTGTGATCCAGGTTTCTGAATGCCTAGAAAGGAAAAAAAAACTACAAATTTAATGCCCTATGGAAAGTGGTTGGGAGCACATGATCAGCTGAACATAGTAAAAGTTTGTTTCTTCATTTGTGTAAATTATGTGGCTTTGTTGGAAAAGAGTAAAATATACAGTATCTCAAAACATCCAAGGAAGCACCTCAAATGACAAATGTTTGGTCATTCACTGACTTATACTTTTTTATAGGGCTAAGTGGCAATTTTACCACTAACTCTTCATATTGTGAGCCAGCTCACAGGATATCAGAGGTCCCTGGAGGAATCTGTGACCCTGCTGGCATAAACCGGTTATGATCTCCAAAGGTTAAACAGACTGAGGGCTGGAAGAAACTTAAGACAGCGTTAAAGCCACATCTTCCTCCAGGATCTTAAGATCAATTTAGGGCTATGTCAAAGGGATCTGAGACTGCTTGGGGTAGTTGACTTTTTTCTCATCAAAGGAAAGTGTTTTTTCTAATTCTGTGCTGTGTAACTATTTTTCTCTAATATTTTTTAGGTGTTGATTTTAGGCAAAATGACTAACCGAGCAGTACTGTTTTGAAAGAATTCCCAAGCTGCCCAAATTACTGTGTACTTGCCAACTCACAAAAATATTTTTTTATTTCAAGATTTTATGCCTCTCTCAGAAACAATGACAAGTTAACTGCTCGCCTACAGCCTTGTAGATGTCCAGGTTTAGTGTAAGGAGCTGTGTGCAGTAGTGATGTGGCTCTAGACTTTTATCTAGAAGGATGTGAGGGCACTTGTTGTATCCTTGTGCAAAGTACTCTCAGACTGTTGTAGTAAAATTCCCAGCTGTGTAAGTGTTCCTTCAAAGAGCTATAAAAAGTTAGAACAAATGTAAGTCACTTCAGATAAGAGCACCAATCAAAATAATAGGCATCAACAAAGGAAGTCTCAGAATTTAAAACCTTACCGTCATTATAAATTGCACCTTCATTTTCCTTACTATAAAGTACTCCATGGGGTTGAATGCTGTAGTTTCTGCTTGCATTATTCATGAATGTCACCAATATTGTATCATCAACTTCTGCTTTTATCACCGGGCCTAAAAGGAAATAGGCTTATTTACACCTTGAGTAACATAAAGCTCTGTTACTTTCATCTTGAGTGTTCTTGCTTTTAATGTGGAAATTCCAAGCATTCAGATGTTTGATGCTTTTAGACTATATATTTTATTATATGAGAGCATTGGTTTTCATATTGCCCAACTTATTGAGATTCTTTTGCAAAAGAAGAAAAAAAAAATATGCATGAAGCCTGACTGGAGGGCTGGCTGACATACCCAGAATTCCAAGGTGTGTCTCACTACCGGACGGCTTTTTCTTTGTAGTGAAGGTCTCATCAGTGTACTCCACATATCGAACCTTCAGATACTGCCCCCCTAGCCTCCCTTGGCTCGTACCGAAGAATGTTTCTGAGTCGCTGCAGAAACATAACCACAAAAACAATAGCTGCAACTATATAAACGGCTTAAAAATGACAAATTCACGATACGAGGGAAGAAAGCTGAACTACACACTGATATGAAGAGTCTTATATATTTTGCATTCTGCACTCCACTCACAGATTCTCCTTCTTAATGCAGAAATACATGCGATTATGCATAATGACATTTTAGCCACTTTGTTTCAAACTAACACCTAATTCCAATAGGACTTGGACTAGCAAAAACAGCCTTTTAGATTTATGGATGTGTAAAGAGGGGTAAATTATGTTAATGATGAGGAATACCTGACATTAAGACTGTGTCGCGGACGTCCAAAGGGACTAACCGTGGGGAGCAGGAGAGCGGAAAAAGACCCATATGCGTAGCGGCGAGACAGGGAAAAAGGCCCGGGCTCATTAATGCAAAGAGTTCAGGAATGCCATATAGAAACCTATGCCCTCAGGGAGCGGACGTGGGGCGCCCTGGTGCTAGGCAGGTCTCAGGACATCCAAACATCAATGCTGAGCAAGGACAGAGTGCAAGACCCGGAAATATATAGCCCAAGGGAAAGAGAGGGACAGGAAGGACAGCAGACCGAAAAGGAGCACCCTCTGGCTGCAGAGGGCGTGACAGACTGTTATCCAAAATATTTGTTGGTAAATTGGATAGCTTAGCTAGCACTTTATATTAGCTACCCTTTACTCTGAATTATTCTGATAATATTTGTAAAGATTATGATCAAATGGATTAAAGACTGATGAATGAAAACCTTTATTTCTTTGGAACAAAGTTATTACGGTAACAGATGCAGTTGATAGTAAAAACCATGCATTTATTGTAACTACTGATTGTGTCTAAGACATACACTGTTAGAAAGTAGTATGTATACTGTTTATGTATTATTTTACATTGGTTTTTGTAAATTGGGTATGTGTAGTCCAAATAACCTAAAGTTAAAGTAAGAGATGTGTAAGAGAGAGAGAGTAAAAGATTGTGCTTAGTCACCTGTACTGCTCCTCCCTTCACCAGTAAAATGCATAATCTGTATGCAAGACTACACATCCCTGCCAGTGTAGACAGATGCAAAGTGGCAGGCTACTACTGTACATATAAACTTAATGATGATTAATACTTACATTTTGAAAACAAGGCATCTAGTATCTGATTGAATTGAAAATAGTGTGGGTAATGGTGATCACATGAAAGTGTGCAATCATATCTGTTGGAATAAGTGATAATAAATTAATTTAAATAACTAAAAAGAGTAACTGAAACTAACCTCCCACTAGCGTTCAGAGCCACACCATCAAAAACGTTATAGCCCGAAGGAGCGTAGTTCCAGAGCTGTTCCTCAGCCGCAATGTAGTATTTCCTTGTTTTACCACTAGGGGGAGATTTAGAGCTACCTTGTCCGCATGAAGAAACTTCGTAAAAAGCCTGCATTCCAGCTAGAGACGATAGTAATATTAAATGTAATGTGAACAAGTAGATATGAGACAATAGCATCAAAAGACGACTTTTTGTTAACGATATAAACTACAGATTGATATAATTAAGATGAAATTTTAAACTTAAAAAAAACCCTGGGAGAATTATTCTTTTTATAATTGGTTACACTTTCTTGAAAGTGTCCATGGAATGTAATAATATATCGTAGCCTTTTAATACTACTACCCCTTCTCCACCCCATAAAAAGAAGTTGGCTTCCTGCTGCTTGAAAGACTATATAGTTGTTTCTACATCTAGCAGAATATGAATTAATTTAATTTAATTTGTGATCTAATAATAATGGACAATTGCAAAGAAAATGTACTGTATATTATACAGAGAATAAAATAACACCTATTCATAAATCAGGTGCTCTTTACCTTGAATGTGGTCATTCACTTGGCAGCTTAACATCCATTTCCCAACATTCCTGGGGATCATCTCCAAGGTAACAAATGTGGCTGGAAACAGGCTGATGACATCAGCTCTGTGGCCCCTGTCCAGTACTGTGTGTCCATGGAAATAAGCCGAGTGGATGTCTACCTCATTTCCCATTCCAAAGAGGTGCCAGGCCACCGTTCTGTTCACACACATCTCAAAGCTAGGCAGGTTCCCAAACAGATACCCATTGATTACTGCAATTCAAGAGCAAATTGGAGTTTTTATTCATTTCTTAATGAATTTAGTGTGCAGTGCATAAATGTCAAAAACCTTTGGGATTAGGCAAATTTGTGGTTGTCTAAACTTTCAGTGTTTTCACTGGCCCTCACCGTGCATCTTATTAGATTCTTGGAATTCCTCATTCTCTGGATCTACAGTGGAAGGCTCTGTGCAGTAGGTGTTAATGTTGTCATCCAGATACCAGCTGAGATTCTCATCCACAACATTGAACATAGCAATGAAGTCCTGATCCACATCCCTACGAACATTAGAATTCTGCAGCAAGGTACCTGAAGAGGATAAATCAAGTTAGGATTAAGGCAAAACAAACAACTGGAGTTTTTTCTGACTCCAGCTGACAGTGGATGTACCTAGCTGATTCAAGATGATGATGATTATTACTAGAAGGTTCTGTAAAACCCTCCAACAAGAGGATTTAGAATAGGACTGGGTTAATTAGTTCAGTTTTCATCAATGTTTAAGAACCAGTATCTGAGAAGACTCAAAATCAACTACCTACTGAAATGTATAGGTGTGTTATTTGCGTTATTATTTTTAGAATTAACATGATTTCCTAAATAAGGCCCAGGTTATATTTAGATGCAGAGAACCTCTCAATTGGGACTCTTTTAAGAACTATGTAATTAAACGCTTACATCCATCCATTTAGTTTCTAACTGCATTATTCAATACAGGGTTGCGGATGAGCCAGAGCCTATCCCATGGGTCCAAGATGAGATACACCCTTTACAGGACATTAGTCATAACTCCTACATATGAGTTATTATTCAATGACCCATCCATGTTTCAGTAATAATCAGGTACAGAGCCTGGTTAAAAAAAAACTTTGGCACTTTAAAATCTTGGAAGTTCATCTCTACAGAACTGCTGAGAGGAAAGCTAAGAAAGATGTAGAACTTCCTTTTCCAGTGATCAGCTTTTGGTTCTTTGAGGTGGCTTTGAATTAGCTCAGCAGTCTTGTTTTATGGCTGGAAAGCTCTCTGGGAGGGCTATACTATTTCATGGAGTTAAGGGGGAAACCTTTTTTTCCCCTATTTAAATATGACATCAATACTTTTTTTTTGTTATAAAACCACCCAATTTGAAATATCAGGTTACAGTTATAACTACAACCAGGGAGAATGAGGTCTGGCAGACAAGCTCCTGCTGTCAGTGTTAATGCCCACTAGACGAATGGCACACTACACTGATACCAATTCCAGTCTGCTGGTGACCAACATTTCATCAAAAGCCTAGAAGCTCCTGGACAATAAATGCCCACATTAAAATAGTGACTCTACAACAAATGTTCAAGTCCCCACTTGAGGAATCCTGGTCATCTATGATGGAACCCAAGTTTGAATTAGCATCTGGAATATAGAGGGGAGTCTTTATTTTACCTTTTTTACATGTCAGGAGAGCCCCAATCAGTCCAGAAACTATGTCCTTGGGAGAATCCGTGTGGGAATGGTAGATCCAGGTCAGGCAGTTGGCATCAGCCTCAGTGGGAGCATATTGTGGCTTCACAATCCAGGTATATGTGTAGCTTCCCCCAGGCGGAACACCATCATCTTTTTTCTGTTTTCCAGATGTCCCATCTGGATACAAAGCTCCTAAAATAAAGAGCAGGGAAGGATCAAGACTCCCAGACAGCTCCATATTTATACAAGTCTCTAATGCAAGGGCTTCGGCATCCAGAAAAAGCCTCAGAATTAATTGTCATGCTCCGCAGTGACATCCAGAATGAATATCTATAAATTATGGAAATATAACTATATATCACAAAGACACTCTTTAAACAGCAATTTTAAAAAAAGCAGGTATAATCTAAAAGCAGAAAATACTGGACAAGTAATGAAAAACTCAGAATCTATTCTCAGAAATATTTGTAAATATATTTGGGCTGCCAAAGGTAATGTTTCCAGATCTGAATGAGAACTGAATTCAACAGTCCCAAATAGTTTATATTTATTTGATGGCCAAAAATTTAAATTAAAAGATTATACAATAAATCTCCTAAATGCTTGCTGCCATTCAAACTAGCTCTTTTTTGAAGCAAAGAAATATTAAGTAAAGCACAGTTCTTTGCAAAAACAGATTTAGATCACTGAAAAAAATACCCAGTCAGTTAAGATTTTTCTGTTCAGTACCATCTATAATCCTTTTCGAAACTCAAACAAAATGTTATTGAATTACCTGTATCATGTTTAATGTTTTTGCCTGCTCTTAATCTCCCATTTTGTTAATGCAGCAGTTTGAAATTTGTTAAGATTCACCCAAGTCCAAAGTGCTGAGAATACTTGTACCCTATACACTTTACATTAATGTGATTTACTGGTGCCTGTCAATTTTCTGACCCAAACAAAATTTTATTTTATTATCATGCCTTTTAATGAATGCATTTTGGCCAAGTTAATATGGAAACGCTACTGTATATGTAAATATACAGTAAATACATATATTGGAATTATATGAGAGTGTGGATCTGCGTCAGTGTGTGCTGGCTACAAAAGAACATAAAAAAGTTGTTCAATGGAAACAGAAACAAAATGGGAATTATAATTTTGTTCTATTACAATGATCCTAATATAAATTCTTGTGACTCTTATCCGAGATACTGTCAAAAACCTATCCTTATCTGAGATACTGTTATCTGTTACTGTTATGAGGCCGGTTAACTCAGTTGGTTAGACCGTGGTGCTAATAACTCCAGGGTCATGGATTTGATCACCGTATGGGCCAGGAGAGCTCCATATCTTTAGCCAGCAGCCATATCATCCTGCAACTCACAACTGGCAACCAACTAAAGCTAAGCAGGTGTGAGCCTGGTCAGTATCTGGATATGAGACCTCTTGGAAAAACTAAGGTTGCTGCTGGAAGAGGTATTAGTGGGGCCAGCAGGGGGTGCTCACCCTGTGGTCTATGTGGGTCCTAATGCCTTAGTATAGTGATGGGGACACTACGCTGTAAAAAGGCACTGCTCTTTGGATGAGATGTTAAACCGAGGTCCTGACTGTCTGTCGTCACTAAAAATCCCAGGGTCTTTCTTGAAAAGAGTAGGGGTGTAACCCTGGTGTCCTGGCCATATTTCCCATGGGCTTTTACCAATCATGGCCTCCTAATAATCCCCATTTATGAATTGGCTTCATCACTGTTCTCCTCCACACTGATAGTTGATGTTGTAGTGAGTGTACACATATCGGGCAGAGCAGTGGCACTGTGGCTAAGGACCTGCGCCTGTGGCTGGAAGGTTGCTGGTTCAAACCCTGTGGCCAGCAGACAAATCCTACTCTGTTGGACCCCTGAGCAAGGCTCTTAACCCCAGCTGCTCCGGGGGTGCCGTATAAATGGCTGACCCTGTGCTCTGACCCATAAGTTTCTCTCCCTGTCTGTGTGTCTCATGGAGAGTGATCTGATCTTATCATTGGCTGCTGTCGCATCATCCAGGTGGGGGCTACACATTGGTGGTGGTGGAGGTGAGTCCCCATTACAAGTGCTTTGAGTGGAGTGTCCAGAAAAGTGCTATAGGAGTGGAAGGAATTATTATTAGTATTGTTAATGAACTTTGGGATGAAAACAAAGCACCTGGGGGAAATCTACAAGAACACAGGGAGAACATACAGACTCCACTAAGATAACAGCCTTGGAAATGAAACTAGTAACAGTAACCACTGAACCAACATGCCTCTTTTAATTTCCTTTACTCTGAACTTATATTTGTCCACATTATTACTGAATTCAGAGCATTATGGTTAAGCTATGTTAGGCTGGTAGACAAAGTAGATTGACTTGGCTGCAACAGTAACACCTTGCCAAATCTGCATAGCTAAGCAAGGCTGGGGCTGGTCAGTACTCGGAGGGAAGCCTCTAATGAAAACAAGGTTGCTGCTGCATGTTGTGTTGGTACACCAGTCAGAGCACACTTCCCCCTGGATTCCAAACACCGATGCCTCGGGCAGTAGGATATCCTCGCGACTGTAAATTTCACTGTGGGCTTGTACAATCTAGCTGATCTAAAGTTCCCCCTTAATTCAAGTGGTAGAGAAAGCTCTGACTTGTGCTCCTGGCCTGCTGTGAAGTGGAGCCGCATTTCAGCCCTTCAAATCACTCACTTCAGATCCTCTGTGGAGGACACATTATATAAATGTAAGAAATTGTTATCTTTCAGATGAGACGTTAAACCAAGGTTCTGACTATTCGGCTATTAAAGATCCCAAGGCACTGTTTGTCAGACCAGGAGTATTAACCTTGGTGTTCAAATGCCAGTTTGATTTTGTACAATCTGGTCTCTCTAAAATTGACCCTGATGTGAAAGGCAGCCATGCCTTACCTAGGAAGCAGCCATTATGCCCTCCTCTATGTCAAGAGTTTTGGGATGAAAGGCACTTTGCAAATGCTTTGTCAGTGCATGATCTACAAAGGAACAAGAACAGGGGAGAGAGCAACCTGAGTGCAAACGCAAGAATGAAGTGGTGAAATTGTGCTGGAGGTGGATAGAAAGGGGATAGTTAGTGGAAATGTGAGAGACAGACTGCTAGAAACAGGTGTGAAATGCAGCCATGTGTTACTCAATGGGGGAGATTAAAAACAGACTAGAGGATCATTGAGTGGTCTGCACAAAAAGTGATTCAATTTTATGTAATTAAGAAACAGGTCCTTAAAAACACACCATACTGCCCAAAGTTAAAACAGGGCAAACTAAGAAACTAGATGTTTAAAATGTGTTATATAAACAGGCATGCCCTTGTCTGAAGTTGGCATATAGACTTGTCTATTCATTAAATGACCCAAATGCTATACTACAGTGGAGTACAGTATGCTGACTCATTTCTAGGAGCCATGAGCAGAATTCTAACTGGAGAGGGAAAAACATATTGAGTATCTCTCAGATCAGGACACAGAGATAGTACAAAACACATATTGTATTCTTACCTCTGCTTCAGACGAGTATTACATTACTAATTCACAGTTTATATCATTCAATATACCTCACTGAGCCCCTTCTAACAAAACAGCTAATCTCAGCTGACATGTCACAGAAACCAAATTTTTCATAAGCTAAGACGTTCTTTGTTAAAATAAATGGAAAAGCAACATAAAAAGAGAAAGAAATATGTAATTTTATACATTCAGTTTTTACACATTTTCTGCATTGCTGCAACCTCATCAAGACAAGTGAACTTAAAATTTATGTAAGAATATTTTACTCATGATGTTAACCAAAGGTGTTGTAGTAGTATTTCAGTAATTTTAGGTTATTTCTGACTTTGAGGTTCTACAGGAGCTAGGATGGCTACTTGGGAGATTATTTCCCAAGTCACCGTAAGGAAAGGAGATAAAGCTAAACCTAAATTAGAAGCATCATTACAAAAGAGTGTAATGTTAATACACAGTACAGGCTTAGAAATAAGATTCCTTATCTTGTTTCTTAGAAATAAGATTCCTCTAGAGCATGTAATATTATGTATATTATGATTTCAGAAACCATCCGATAAGGTTCCCCATAAAATGTTCAATCTTGAATTAAAATCCATAGGAAACCAAGATGTATGAATATGGATTCAGAATAAGTTATTAAAGACGAATCAGTGTATCAGCAGATGTAAATAATGGTTTGCTCCAGAGATTCATTTTTAGGCCCTTACTTTGTCTGGCAAAACCATTCAAGGACTGGGCAGACACCTGGAAAATGAACTTTAACACTGATAAATGCAAAGTGATCCACACAGATAGCAGCAACATACAGTATACAGTACAGTATATATTGCATGATCTCGATCCACAGGAAGCTATTCATTAAAGAGATCCAGAAGTATATGTAAATTATTATTCTGCACTCAAATCAACATTAATGTGGAGAAACTAAACAAAGCAGAATGCTTAGATATAAGCAAAGCGTGTTAAATTTAAGTCCGAGCTATTTCTTTCCAGTTTTACAAATGACTAAGTATCATTTAGATCATGGTCACCAGACTGCAAAAAAGGTAATGTCTTTATACAAAGCATATCCCAGTACAAACATTGAAACCCCAAGCTTTCTCTTGAAAATCTGCATTAAGTAAATAACACTGCCATGTTGCTCTGTGTGAGTGTGTGCGAGCATGTGTATATCTTTCTTACCTTCAGAGTCTTTTTCATAGAAAACTCCATGTGGGTGCAAGGAGTATGGTCTTGAGGCAAAGTTCTTCAAGTGGACAACTATGACATCCTCCACCTCAGCTTTCAGAATTGGACCAAGAAACCCGAGCCATGCAGGTTTGGGAATTTCTGTAGTAAAGTGTCCATCAGTGTACTCTCGATACACAGCTTTTTTGTACTTGCTTCCTATACTGTGTGGACCTTGCTGTAGAAATATTGAGGCATGCCTAGAAAATAACACAAAAGTTAATAAAACAATATTGCATACATCACAGATATCTATCACAAAAACTGTGGCTATTTCTTTTGGTCGAAAAAGAGTTTCTTAACTTTGGTTTAGAGGAATGACATATTTAATAATAATTCCTTACACTTCTATGGCACTTTTCTGGACACTCCACCAATGTGCAGCACACTAATCTGGATGATGCGACAGGAGCCATAATGCAGCAGTACACTCACCACACACCAGCTCTCAGATGGGAGGAGAACACAGTGATAAAGACAATCATATGATTAGGATTATGAGGAGGCCATGATTGACTAAGGCCAGTGGGAAATTTGGCCAGGACACCAGGGTAACACCCCTACTCTTTAAAAGAAACACCCAGAGAGTTTTAATGACTCCAGAGAGCCAGGATCTCAGTTTTACACCTCATCCAAAGGATGGTGCCTTTTAAAAGTATAGAGTCCCCAACATAATACTGGGGTATTAGGACCACAGGGTAAGCACTCCCTGCTGGTCCAACTAACAGCTCTTCCAGCAGCAACCTTAGTTTTTCCAGGAGGTCTCCAATCCAGGTACTGACCACATTCACACCTGCTTAGCTTCAGTGGGCTGCCAGTTGTGAGTTGTAGGGTGATATAGCTTTTGACTTTTGCTGTATCCTGACAATATTTAACAGATAGCTCTGATGGGTGAATATAAAGAGCAAAGGTAAATGCGGAAACGTGATAAGACATCGTTTAAAGGAAATAAGAAAAAATAAGAAAGGAAGACTATTGTAAACAGGTTACAAATGAGAATCAGCCATTTTACCTACAGTACACTGGTGAGGTACAGTGATGAGAAGTACTTACTGTACAATTTCTCCTGCACTACAATATTACCATCGAATGAAGCGCTTTAATGTGGCAGACTTTAATTGAACATTTACGTATCTTGGAAGTGCTCTAGATGGTATCAAGCGCTAAACTGCTTCTATAATTACAAGCTATCAAACACCATATTAAAATTTTACATTTTGTATATATTTTTTGTTTTATTTGTATTAGACAATAATTAACATACACCTGCGCACTCAAGTTAAATTAACGTTTAGATACAGTTGATCAAGGGTATGAATATATTTCGATACTATTTCAGTCTAAGGGGACAGAGTCATATAATAGCTATAGCTGTAGTACAAGTACGCAAAAGAACAAAACAAATCTCTAAATCTCTACAGAAAAATCTATTATTATTGTTATTGTTATTATTATTATTATTATTATTATTATTATTATTATTATTTTAATGTATGAAGATTTAACTTGTTTTCTTTTGCGTTCTAAATATAAAACATTAAGCAGAAACATTTACAGCATATGCAATGGAGTCAAGCTACAGAGTAATTTTTTTCTCCTTTTTCCAAATAGAACTACTTGTTTAATTTTATTAATTTTCAGATATCTTCGTTACACATCAGAAACTTTCGAAGACTCCACAAACTACAGAACAAGTTTCTAAACATTTTCTTTTACCCTCCCTTCAACAACAACAGTAACTCACTCGTCTTCGCCTATTTTTCTCCCAGAGATTAGATTTTTGCCGCTAGGAGCATAGTCCCAAATTTCTTCGTTGATTCCGATGTAATACGTTCTGGTGATGCATTCATGAACTCCAAAAACTGAGGAGAGAAGGAAGAGAAAGAAAATCTGGTGGCCGCGGAGCTGTTTCATTATTGAAGAGTCGAGTGTTAAACCCCACATTGGTGAAAAATAATTCAGATATGTGAGGCCGTTTATTGTTTTCTCTGTTCAGAAAACAAATAGTCACCTCCAAAAAAAAAGCATCGACGTTAGGCTGGTAAAGTTTAAGATGTGCTGAGCGTTAAATGCCGAGATGACGGTCAATAGAAATCAGTTAGGTGTTATTTTAATTCTTGAATTCCTGCGCCTGTGTTCAAGTTTCTGAACTCCACCCCCACTGGCATCGGAAAGATGGACAGCTTGGGCTACAAAACCGCCGCTGTTTGGTTACTCTGTCTGGTGGCCATAGCAATATATTTTTAAAACATCGATTCCGTTACCTTATTATCCATTCCAAAACTGTAACTAAATAATTATCAATCATATCAGTTCAGTTCAGTTTATTGTCACAGGTACAAGTGCAATGAAATGTATGCTCCAATACAAAGACATTAAGGAAATACCGAAAACATAAACACAGAACAGCAGGAGACACAACAAGTTAAATAACATACAACTTGATGTTCTATCAGATCGTTATTTAATTCTTCAGGTAAGAGGTACTGTAAACTCTTACATAAATGTGTATTTGTACTGTATGAACATTTACATTTCACAAATACCTGTACTTTTCTGGTCCTACATCTGATTTACCCCCTTACCCAAACTTAAAACAGGACATCCTATACTTTAACCACTGTACATTATTCTAAGTGTCAGTCATACAACTGTAAATTACCTTCATCTGGACAAGCAAATTGAAGATGAATGAACACTTGTTAAGGCTGGGATATACAGTACACATATTTGAATATTATTTAAACTAAATATGCTGGTGTGGTGAGCTGTGCTGAAAAAAGGCCAATATGATGGAAAACTGTATACATCTATACAATGTATATGTAGACCATGGAAAAGGTTTCAGATCATATGTATATATATTGGAACAATGTATTAGTTATGGAAACCTTAAGCTTTTTATAATTATTAAAATGTAGAAAATGTTTTATGAAAATGTTATATAATTGAACCACAGAAATATGTTGGTAGCAGGCTTAATATAAAAATATAGTGAAAATATATAGTGTTCTAAGAGGCCATTTTCTGCATTACATCCGAGGAACAGAAGTGGTACAGAACAAAATACACCAACTTTACATTTATTCATTGTGAATTCTCTTGCAAGGCACTGTTCGAAGACTACAAATGAGATGAACAGTTAATTGAGCTGAATATCTGATACCAAAAATGTGAGGGTGCTGCCCTCACCTGTGGTTGAGGGGGAGAGTCTCACCACAGTAAAAATTCCCCTGACAATTCTCACAGTTTTTAAAGGGATTTTTTTTTATTTCACGGGGACAAGAGCCAATTAGTTACACAGCCATTTCTTGAAAGAAGCCACATCATGGTCCCACAACCTTTTATGTAAAAAAAAATGCCTCCTGTTCTCAGTTTAAAAATCGACTATCTTTACTAACTTGTAGTTTTGTGTTTCTGAAGAAGTCCACTGAGTTAACGTCTTTCATATAAACAGCTGGATGATATCTTTGCAGTCTTAGATCTTAGTAATTAGTTACTAAAAACATAACTAGCTAAACGGACTAAACAGGTTCCTCTTGTTTGTAAAAATGTTTAAATTATCTTATCCAGTTTTTTACTGAAAATATGATTCTCTTGAAATATTACATTTTTGCAGTTAGGTAGTTAGATTTAGCTAAGTAACACACAGGTATTCAAAAACAGAAGACAGAGCTTTCCAACACCCTTGCCTGTCACAGAAAACGTCCACCAACAGTGCCATCTCGTGGTTGTATGAGGAAATATTTCTTACATTTTTTTAAATTAATGGTCAAGGTCTGTGAAATATAACGGTCTAATTAAAACAAGAATTCCATATCGCTGTATGTTGTAGTTATATTAATTGCAGTGCACTGTAAAAAGTTTCACATGAAACAAAGACATAATTAAGATTACAATATATGGTTGAACAGTACGACCAGGAATGGCAGTTGTTCCTAGTCCGACCCGGTTTCACTAACACTGTTGTTGCTGCAGAACTACAATCTTGGTCTAAGGCAACACATGCTGTAAGGAAAAATACAACAAGCAACAATGACAATGGGTCAATTGAACCGAAACTAGAACCATCATAGAAGAGTCAATTATCTGAAAATTGGAGGAGATTCTGTCAGCTCTTTGATTAACAGCTAATAGCATCTGGCAGTGACAATGATTTATCGTAAAAAAAAACCTTGAAGGTTTTTGTTATAACAGGATGTTTGAAGTCCAGTTTCTTGGAGCACTCTCATTAAGAATATCAAAATGTAATTTTCACAGATTCTCACTATTCTAAATGTTGTTTTTTTTCATGTGTTATACAACTTTTTCTCTTGTTAATGTTTGATGGGGCAGGGTTCTGGAACTTTTCATACACAGTATGTATACCTATTACACGTAAGAATGGGGATCTTTTGGAAACAAATGTACTGTAAAGAAATAAAAACGTAGAAATCACTCAAATTTGTTGTGTTTTCAGTGCATCTTATTATCTATCATGACTTGTCCTTTTCACTGCGTTTCTGTTTTTGGGATCGAGAAATTCCTCTTTTAGGAACTGATTTTTGTCTGTTTTTAATTGTTCTTAATTCACATAGAGAAATCTTTTTATCTTGTTAATGTTTGATGGGGCAGGGTTCTGGAACTTTTCATATACAGTAGGTTTACCTATTACATGTAAGAATGTGGCCCTATCTTTCAGAAGTCTGTTGACTTTTACTCTGTCCCAGCACTGAGGAAAAAATCAATAATCGTGCCAGTACCCAAAAAGTCGTGTCCCTCACATAATAATGACTACAGACCGGTAGCACTGACATCTGTTGTTGTGAAATGTAAGGGTCAACAAAACTCTTTCCGAGTCACGATCCATTAGCACAGGTGCTCCTCAGGGCTGTGTGAGCTCTCTAGTTCTGTTCACAATGTATACAAATGATTGTACAAGCAGTAGTCAAAGCAACTTTATTTTCAAATTCTCAGATGATACAGCTCTGCTTGGCTTAATGCATAGAGGAAGCGGTTCATATGTGTACATGACAGAAATCCAAAAGTTTGTGCAATGGTGTGACAACAATAGCCCAATTTTGAATGTTAATAAAAACAAAAGAAATAGTTTTTGATCACAGAGAAGTTGGTGATCACTCACATGTAGTAATCCACCACAAACTAAGAGTGTTTGGGTTTTAAAGGAAATAATGCTACTCTTTTACCATACTATAATCGAGAGCATTATCAGATAAGGAATAACAGTGTGGTTTGGTAACTTATCAGATCGCAAATTACCCGTCTCATCCGAATAGCTTTTAAGGTCATGGGAGTGAAACAGCACCTCTCCCTGCAGACAATCTTTGAAAAAGCCATAATCAAACAGGCAAAACAAATTATATCAGACCCTTCCCACATCCTCAATTCTGAATAACAACTTCTTCCTTCTGGCAAACGTTTTAGGTATCCCAAAAGTAAGTCAAACAGATACAAACATTACTTTGTTCCACTATCCATTATAACTGTCAATGCAAATGGCAAGGATAAACACAATTTTTTACCTTTACAATCCACTAATATGTTTTGTAATGTGTTATAAGTGTTATATGTTGTTATAGATAGATACTTTATTGATCCCGTGAGGGAAATTGCAGTGCAACAGCAGCTTAGCACAGTCAACGCAGCACAGTGTAACAAAATGATACAATAATACAACAATACAATACAATCAGTACAGTCAGTGAGAAGTGCACTAAGAAGAGTTGCTCACAGTTCGGATTATACAAAGAACAAACCAGAACAGTACACAAAAAGTTGTATTGCATATTATAAATAAAAATATATTGCACAAGTACCTGGCATATATTGCACAAACAACAGTTGTAAATGGGAAAAGCCAGATGTAAGCAGAGAGTTTACTGTTTAGTCCAAAAACAGGTCAATGTCAATGTTGCCCCTGCCCAAACATAAAGTTGATGCGTTGTACACTTATGGCAGATGGCAAGAATGACCTTCTGTAGCGCTCCCTGTCGCACCATGGTTGGATCAGCCTATTGCTGAATGTGCTCTTCATTTTGTCATAGAGGGGATGGGAGACATTGGCCATGATGGCTTCTAGTTTGGACACCATTCTCCTCACAGCCACTACCTCCAGGGGGTCCAGGACAGATCCAATGACAGAGCTTGCTCTTCTGATGAGCTTTTTCAGCCTGTTAGCATCCCCTGCTCTAATCTCAGAGCCCCAGCACTTGCCACAACCGACTGATAGATCATATGTAGCATCTTACTACACACATTGAAGGACCTGAGCCTCCTCAAGAAGTAAAGTTGGCTCTGACCCTTCTTGTAGATGGCCTGGGTGTTCTTAGACCATTCCAGTCTATCGTCGATGTGCACTCCCAGGTACTTATATGAGTCCAATATCTCCACACCACTCCAATGGATGTAGACAGGACTGGGTTGGACCCTTTTCCTCCTGAAATCTATCACCAGCTCCTTCGTCTTTGCCACATTCGATCGCAGGTGGTTCTCCCCACACCACTCCACAAAGCTACGGACCAGTCCTCTGTACTCTTCATCCTGCCCACCCTTGACACATCCCACAATTGCAGAGCCGTCTGAGGACTTCTGTAAAAAGGGAAAGCAGTGTACGTCTTTGGTGGGAATGGTGTTGTCTACGCAGAAGTTAATGTAGTCAGTAACACAGAGCACCATATTGTCTATGTCGTCCCCATGTGGCTCGCAGAGCACATCCCAGTCGGTAACCTCCAAAGCACCACGTAAATCCTCCACAGCCTCCTGAGCCCATCTCCTCACAGTCCTCATGGTCGCAGGTTGACGCTGGACAAAAGTCCAATGTTTTGTTTTTTCTGGTCGGGCACTTAATAAAGTGTGCGTTAAAGTTATGTGTTATACATGTGCAATGTTTGTATTTTTTCTGCATTATATTTAAATGTACAGAAGTGCTGTGTGTCTACAAAACAATTCCCTCAGAGGACAATAAATCTTATCTTTTTGAAACAAATGTACTGAAGAGAAAAAATGGCAGAAATCACGCAAATTTGTTGTGTATTCAGTGCATTTTAGTATCTGTCATGACTTGTCCTTTTCACTGCGTTTCTGTTTTTGGGATCCAGAAATTCCTCTTTTAGGAACAGATTTGTGTCTGTTTTTAATTTTTCTTAATTCACACCAAGAGATAAAGATTTCTCCCCAACCTTCATTTAATTTAATTGCACATTCTTCTAGTGTAAAATAATTCAGTCTCACTGCAAACTTGTAAGTGCACGATGATAAGTATGTGGAAAATGTAATTTTACACTTTCACCTTTTCACCTTTGTGAAGTAAATCACTCATCTCACACTAAATGTTTGAGTTTATGTTTGAGTTAAATGTTTGAGACTATTTTGTCCTCTATATGACATACAGTATATGTAGTCCACAGGGAAGCTTTCAGGTCATATGTAAAAATATGTCTATAAGAATGATTTACTGGTAAGTATTACATGTTACAAGTAAGTATTTGAAGGATTATTTTATATTTGAGCTTTTCATATTTATTATACCAAAGAAAATCGTTTAAAAAATGCCATCGAAAAACATAATAAATTATATATTTTGGTAATAAACAGTAGAAATCTAGCTTTCTCATGGCAATAAAGACAGAACTATCCATGCTAAGATGGGGAAAAGAGGTGGCGTCCAAGGAATAGCTCCAGACCTGCAATGTCTTCATTGTCTTCTTCTCCTTCAACCGGACTGGCACTGATTCTACTGGAGATCTTCCACAAGGAAGACAGCTTGTGAAGCAACTTGACAGCTTGGGTGTGGAAAAAATAGAAAATCCTTCGGGGTGCCATTCGAAAGCTAAGAGGCATAACAAGAGAGGGCCCTGTCAACCAAACCCAAGACCACAATCAGATGAACAAGGGTTGTGAGGGGTGTAGGTAAATAATACCTTTTGAGATCTCAATTCTTCTTCTTCCCATGTGTTGGTAAAGCCTGTCAGCTAGAGAAAACTATCACAAAATGGGTTAAGACTCATATATTATACATTCATTTAACATACTGTTATACAAAAACAATTAGTTCAATACAGGTTCAGATGGTAAGTGAGAGATGTTTCAATACAAGTGGGATCAAGAACAGACACGTCTCACCAGGCAGTGAAAAGTGTACCTTAACTGATACAGGACACTTATTTATTTTTAACATTCTTCTGAACAACTGCTGAGGATTGACAAAGTACAGTTCGTAGCAAATCGCACTGAAGTCCTGGCATCAATATTGTAATGGATTCGGGTTCTTGGGATTGTGCCCTTACTGCTCCCGCCCAAGTTAGTCCTTCACTACATGGACGCGAAGCCGGGTCTCATGTGTCGCTCAACAAGGGTCTTGCTGGCTGAGCTGATGAAGACCTTCCTCCGCCCGGGCGGCCAACATCCCTGTTATGCGCAGGGGCATATTCGTTACACTATTAATAAATATAATTTATATGGTTCCTAAATGACGCATCCCAAACGGTTTGGTTGAAGAGTTTGTTTCTCTCCTGTATTCTAACCCGCGTCCACAAGGTAGGTTTGACTGTAGCGTTTTTAAATTCAAGATTTTTTTCAGTTAAGATACAGCAAGATTAGCAGTAACCAATGCACCTACAGTACCCGTACATGCATTTGAAGTATAATATATTTAATTTTAATTATTTGAATTTAAAGTAGTGTTTGAAGTGTTAAATATTCCGATTTAAGAACACTTATCGGTCTGATCGTGACTTTACCTTTGTACTGCTAATCATGGGCGATTATTTTTAAACTGATATAGAAATGTGAAACAAACATGAAATGCAAAACGAGTATTGATAATGTCATAGGAGATGGTTACCTATTTTTATTTAGTCACTATTTTATTGTTGGGATGCGTCAAGCGTTAATCTATCAATTTAACACAGGTGTAGGGGTCTTGCGTTCAGACTCAGCGAACTTTAAAAACCCATTTTGATTGAAGCCTGATAACCACCGTGCAGTATATTTCTGTTCCTTGAAAAAGGTAGCTGTCAGACTTACTGTAATCTTCAACAGCTAGAGAAAATGCTCAGACACACCCGTGTGTCCGAACCACTGCAGGACGGATATTCAAATTGAACGAGATCAACGTCAGGTGTTAATCTTGTTTGAGAGATTGACGATTTTAAACTCTTTGCAGTTGTTGTACACTACTACATTGTGAAACCTTCGATTATGATCTGGCACCAGTATAAGAGTGCTCTCAATAACTACATTGCTACTCCTGACGGTGCTGCTTGCAAGTACTTGTCTAGTATTTACTTGCTACCATACTAGACTCTTCTTATATACTGTACTTTAACTGTAGGTTATAGTTATACAGATAATTATGGATATACTTTATATATTTTTTTATATTTATTTATAATGCACACAACATGCACAACCCAATGTACTGTATTGACATACCTGTAATAAATTAATTACTGTTCCTTTGCCCAAACGTACACAAATTAGATAAATCAGGTTTATTAAACAAAACCTTGTTAGATCTACTTTTAACAGCGGATATCCAAGGGTTTATAAATGAAAAAAAAAATATATGAAAGGAACTAACACCCCACTATTACAAAAAAATGAATGATAACACCTGTCTCTCATGGTGACATACTGGAAAAAAATCAGGTAGTTACATTATGAACGAAATATACAGTACCTGCATCGTTTTTTCACACTTCTTGAGGATCTGTATGACAAACTGTGTTGTTTATATATTTTTTGTTTTCTTTTGTGCATTTCTCAGGAATCTGCAGGATAAGATGTCTGTCAATATCCCTGGCCTGATAGCTGTCATTGTGTTTTACATAGTCATCCTTGTTACTGGAATCTGGGCTTCTAGAAAGTCCAGAAAGGAAGAAAAGAAGTGCACAGGGAACAGGAGTGAAGTCACTATGGTTGGAGGTCGCAATATTCATGTTTTCATTGGGATTTTTACCATGACTGGTAAGATGCCCAGATGTGTTCATGTGCCTGTAACACACTGGAACACATTCTAAGTAGGTGAATTTGAGGAAGATTCTGTTCTTCTCCTACAAGGGCCCAAAATGTTTCCTCAGTGAATGAAGATTTAACAATTAACAGCAGTGTTTTTTTTGTATGTTTTCAGCCACGTGGGTTGGAGGAGGCTATATCATAGGGACAGCAGAAGCAGTTTATGTTCCTACACAGGGCTTGATCTGGGCACTGGGACCTCTGGCATATGTGATCAACTTTGTTGTTGGTGAGTAAATGTCCCATTAGTGGAGAAGACAGCAGCTTTATGGCTCTATATCAGGGCCATCAGTTATCCAAGAGATCACAATCGATCAGATTTTATAAACCCTAAATCTGTCGATCATTTATTGTATTGAAGCAGGCAATTGTTCGGCGAATTAGTGTAAAGGTCATTTGATATGTAACTACTAAAACCCTGTTCTGTTCAAGGACAACCTGACTTAACAGAACCTATTCATTTACTTAATTAATTTTCTAAATTGATCAAAACTCGAAAGTATGCCAAGTCTTCACAAATTGATGAGTTAACAGTGATCTATAAGACTTACTGGATGGTGGCTCTTAAGGACCAGGGTTGGACACCTTGTACTACTGTATACTCTCAGCGAAATACCTTACACAATATGAGTGATAAAGTGAAAGAGATTGTCACATTAAATGTATGCCTTTACACCATAAAACATTTCAGTACCACTTTTCAAATTAGGTGGGATTTTCTTTGCCAAGCCAATGAGATCCAAACAGTATGTGACAATGATGGATCCATTTCAACAAAAATATGGAAACACAGTCACAAGTTTTCTTATAATACCTGCTTTCATTGGAGATTTATTATGGGTGGCTTGCGTTCTAAGCGCTTTAGGTAAGTAAAAGCACAACTTCTCTTTGTAAACAAAAGAATTTGTTATTTTTATATATAATATTAAAAATACAACTAAAAGCACTTCATAACATGTAAAATACAGTTATGAATGAAAACACGCGTGGTTTCCATTCAGCTGTCTCTTAAGTTCTCCTTTTCAACAATGTAAGACACTAGTCATCAACACAATTGTTAAAGAGCATTATTTCAAAGCAGTTAGATGAAAAAGCCAATAAAAGGGCTGTTATTCTGCAAGAATGAGAAATCAAAATAATTGTCGCAGTCTTAACATAATGAGGACAATTTATTTTTCTTTGGCTTCAACAATGCAGTTTTGCACATAGTGTAGTCAGAATACCCAGACGGCTGTTTGCCAGAGGTAGCCTTTTTTATCTGAGAAGCAATGACAATTAACATTTTTTCATATGTGTCATGGGCATTTTGTTTTAAAAAACTGTTACAGGAGGAACAATGAGTGTTATACTGGACATATCTTCCATTCACTCAATCCTAATCTCGGCTTTGGTGGCCATAGTATATACACTGTTGGGAGGCCTGTACTCGGTAGCATACACAGATGTAATTCAGCTAACTACCATGCTGATCAGTCTGGTAAGTGAACACTATTTCTTTCTTATAATGTTTTATATGCATGTGGTGCAATTCTAGTGCGAAGACACTTTTATTTAGGAAATGCAAATTATACTTTAATACTGTGCTTTTACGTATTGATAGTATTTCTACAAACAACGCAATGAGCATGATGGATCAAAGTTATGTAGAATTCACAAGAAGAGCCCGGAGTTACCATCTTTAATGGCAGGCTATCAAATTGTCTTTGTGAGTTTTTATACAGTAATGAAGCCTTTATATGGTACCACAGTCTTCCGTTAATCCGTCTATCCACCCATTTTCTAACTGCTACATCACATTCAGGGTCACAGGAGAGCAAGAGCCCATCTTGGCAAATAATGGCCAAAAGGGATGCCAGTTAATTGCAGGGCACACACACACACACACTAGCAACAGGGCCAATTCCTTTCAGAAGCCAGTTAACCAACCTGTATGTCCTCGGACTGTGGGAGGAAAGCTACAGTATGTGAACCAGGGAGAACATTCAAACTCCATGCAGATAGCACCCCAGGTCCAGAATTGAACCTAGGGACCCAGTGCTGCAAGGCTCTGCTAGCCACAGAGAAACTGCTGTCCATTTCCATGAATACCACAAGTCCAGAGTGACACAAAGGGATATCCATAATAAAGATTAAGAAGTTTGTTACTACAAAAAGCAACAGCAAGTAATATTTGATCAAAGTACCAGTTCAGTAGTTTGAATTTGTGCTTTTACCTCTTACCTTTATTTCAGACATACCATTTTGGTAGATTCTGAGATCCAATAAAATTGTCTAAAAACTACCTAGTACTACAGGAAAAGCTGAAAAGTTGTGACGTGACTTTGATTGTTTACATAGCTAAGCAAGTCTCTTTAACAACTGCACAAGCCTTCAACACTCTTAGGCAGAATTCCATTGAATTGAGATTCTGTATTTGAAATTTCCACTGAGACGGTTTAATACCTTATAAAACTTTTTAATGGTTTAATACTTTGTGTTATAGATTTGACCAGAAAAGATCTAAATCCTGACAATTCTGGCTTTACTGTGGCTGCTGTCAGCCCCTGTTTACTTGTTTCAACAGCTGATGATGTTGTAGATATGCAGGGTAATTTTGGAAACCATGGTTTCTTGGCACAATCTAGTGACTTGTGTCTCTAGTGACACACTTGGAGCAAGGTGATGTGTTAGGAAAGCCAAGAGGTGAGGAAAATAACCAAAGTCTAAAGAGTCTGTTAGAGGTCTACTGTAGCTAACTTTGATACATGGAATTGTGGAAATCTGAAAGAAGCTACATACTGAAGAAACATTGGTGGAGCCAATCTGTATCAAGAAACAGACGAACAAGATCCTCAAAGTGGTTAACTACTAAAATCCAAATGAGCTAGGTAACACACAAGAACAAGAATGGACAGTCATGCTGTTTTCCAGAATGCATAGATCACAGAAAAATACTGTAGCAACATTGGTGGAGCTGTTTAGATTATAAAGAGATTATAAACTCTGCTTCTCACTGTGCCACAGTAACGTTTATGTACAGTATGTAATATGGACTTTGTACATTATTAATTCAGTATCTGTGCAACACTAAGAAAAAAAGGACTTGCATTTTGCTTTTCACAAAAATATTTTTGTAGGATAATAAATGCACTGCAGCAGACAGTATTTCTAGCAAAAAATCTACCAGTGTATCTTTATGATAATTATAAATAAATACATAAATTAATTAAAAATCCTGACTCCTTCAAAGGTTTGTGCTCTTTTAATCACAGGGGCTTTGTATCCCATTTGTAATGAAGAATCCAGCATCCACAGATATCAGATTTACAGCCGTTCATGAACTATTTCAAGCTCCCTGGATTGGGAAATTAGAGCTGAGTGATGCGGGCAAATGGATAGATGATCTTCTGATTTTTGTAAGTTTTATGCCATGAGAAACTCACCTACCAAAGCCTCTATGTCAATATTAGTCATAAATGCCATTGACAATTGTAAATCTAAATAATGTCCTGTAAAGAGGGCCTTGTATCTTACTTTTAATTATTTTCCCTATAAATATTAGTAAATGGTGTGTTGTAAAACCAGTTTTTGAGTTATGGTGTAATCTTCTGCTTGTTTCAGACAAAGTATTATGCTATAGTTTGTAGTTTCCATTACAGTGTAGCTGGCATGCTGACCTGTTTTGTTGTCTTTTTAATATTTCATATTAACTTCAGGCTCTAGGAGGAGTTTGCTATCAAGCGTTCTACCAGAGAGTGCTGTCTGCTGCATCTCCCTGCCAAGCCCAAGTTACATGCTTTTCTGCAGCCATCTTTTCTGTCATCTTGGCTGTCCCCTCTGTGCTTATTGGAGCCACAGCAGTGTCAACAGGTGTGTTACACACCTGCATTTTTAATTTTAATTCCATTCCTGTATTTGTTATATGTTATAAGCACTATTATACAAGCCTTCCGTACTAGTTAAATGAACAGTCAATACATTTGAACTACAGTATTGTGAATAAACATTTGTCTTTAGTATTATGTTTTAAAGTAGCAGCAATGTTTTTTATACATGTTAGAACTCATTGTAAAAATACCTCTGGCCTCATTTTACGGCTCTGTTTCAGACTGGAACCAGACGAGCTATGGCTTACCCACACCATTTGAGAGAGGTGAAGCCGCTAAGATTCTCCCCATCTCGCTGCAACACCTCTGTCCACCCTTCATCTCCATCGCTGGTATCGGTGCCATCGCAGCAGCGGTGATGTCTTCTGTGGACTCTGCCATGCTGTCTTCTGCCTCCCTGTTCGCACGAAACATCTACAAGAACATCTTGAGAAAAACGGTGAGCCTTGTTACCTGCGATAAACATAAGGACAGTTTATATTGCTGTCACACATAAGTATTTTACTCATTTGTTTTGTTGTTTCAATGTTATACCTCCAGGCTTCTGACAACGAAGTGGTGTGGGTGGTGAGAGTTTCTGTGCTCGTCGTTGGGGTGTGCGGAACAGGCCTCGCCGTCACAGCGGACACGGTCTATGGATTCTGGCTGATAAGTGGAGATGTGATTTACACTGTGCTTTTCTCTCAGCTCATCTGTGTTCTGTATTTCCCCAGTACTAATAGTTATGGTGCTGCTGCAGGCTTTGTTGTGGGCGCAGTGCTAAGGTTATTAGGAGGGGAGCCCGTACTCGGCATCCCACCAGTGATTTATTTCCCTTACTGTAGACTCATTGACGGGGTCTATGTCCAATATTTTCCATTCAAAACTCTGGTAATGCTGCTTTCTTTAATTACCATCATGCTTGGTTCCTTCCTGGCATCAGTGCTGTTCAACAGAGGTCTTCTTCCAGAAAGGTGGGACGTATTTCAAGTCAAAAAGCACAATGATAAAATTCTCAGAAGATCACACTATGAGGAAACGTGTTTAGATGATACACTAGCAGTTAATGAGGACTCACCTGTTGAAAAGGAATCCTAGAAGACTTGTACAATATATATATACTGAGAACTATTAGGAATGCAACTAATGAGGGATGGAACCAATAGCATGTAATGTCAGTTTATACAGTACTTTAAGACTGACATGATTTATTTCTTCAGTCTAAATTAAACAAAAACCCTATGGATTATGGTAATTACTTAAATATTGAGTGTTCTGTTATGGTTGTTAATGTATTCATAAACCAACCGTTAATAGCAGGATATATGAAGTTCAGTTTCTTGCAGCAGTCCAAACTAGATTATCAAAATGTATAGATTATCAGAATGTCAAAATGTGTATCTTTTAAAATGTGTTATCCAAATTATTTTTGTGTTGGTGTTTGATGGTGTAGGACTCTGGAGCAAGTCAGTATTTCTAGCATGCATTTGGTTTTCCTATTCGGTGTAAGGAAATGTGAATTTTTTGGAAAACAAATGTACTGAGGGAAATTAAAAATGTAAGAAATACTACTGGTTAAAATACTCATTTGTGGTGTTTTTAATGCTTCCTAGTGTCTATCATATTGAGTTTCTTTCACTGTCTTTCTGTTTTTTGGCATCCATAAATTCCTTTTCTATTAACTGAATTTTGATTGTCTTTTTAATTGCTTAATTCCAGATTAGGAAACCAGCAGGGGTCTCTGTTCATTAGAAGTTAATTTCTCTCCAACCTTCATTCAGTATCATTGCACCGTCTTCTACCATAAAAGAATTTAGTCTTAGCTGAAAATTTGTGGGCACTAGATGGATTAAGCAGAGTACAGAATGTGAGAGTAAAGAACATTTGGATTTACAGTTTTCTGTTTCCCAACTTCATGAGAAATATCTCATCTGGCACTGATTGTAAGTGTATGTTGGTTTAACTACAAAGTTTAAAGATTCACAGGTTATGTGATATACTTTATCCAAGGTGGGTAGCTGCGTCAGCATGGGTAGTTTGCAAAGGAACAAGTAATAGGTTTATTCCTTACTGAAAAGAGAAGAGAGAAAACACAACGTTTCGTTTGTGATGCCTTATTCGGGAACGAGGGCTTCACAGCCAAAACATTGTGTTTTCTCTTTTCTCTTTTCATCATGGAATAAACCTATTACTTGTTCCACCATAGTATATCTAAGGTTAGAAATATTCTGTGCAAAACAGATCAGAGGAAATCCATGAACAGAAAATAGTTTGTGGCCTATGCAAGGTATAGTATAGCATTTTGCTTATGTTTTAAGAGATGTGTTGCTTTCTTAATGAAGTTCTTTTTGTTTTCTAGAAGTATTTCTGAAAATGTAGCACATTTTATTGTTCTGTGTGTGAGTAATGAATTTACACGCATTTGGCTACATAAAACAGATGTTTTCTGATGATAGGGAACTTACTGAAAATTAATTGGATCCTTGTAATATTTGAATAAATCCTTTAGAAGACATTCACTTGTAGTGGAGAGGTTAATACTTCTGATAGGAGAGTTTGAGGTTTTGAAATGAACATTGTGCAGTAAGAGGACGTAAGAAGCCAATATGATTTTAATTCATAAATGCACGACAGTAAAAACAAAAAGCTTACAACCTTTGAACCAGTTGCTGTAGTAATGCAGTCTTCTGAGCCAAAAAAAACCCCATTTAATTACACTATAGCTGTTCCAGAGCCGATTAATGCTGACTGTTGAAAAAATCTTTCATTGTGAGAGGAATAGTTTGGATAATTTGCTAATGCTCATTGTGTTTTCTAGGAGCAACTTTTGCTAAATATAATTAACCTCCTTACGCCCTGCCAAAACTGAACCAGAAGTAAGAATACTTACCGAAAAGCTCAAGGTATTGTGCGGTTGCTTTTCTTTCTGAAGAAAGACCACCAGATATTTGGTAAGACTCTTCTTTTGATTATTTTCATATCCTGTGAAAGGAGTTATACCATCAAATGAGATAAGATATACAGTATATTTTTTATTGTTTAGAACAAACCAGTAATGGATACTGACAAAAAGGTTTGGGTATTATTGTGTTTGTTATTGAATAAGAGACCAGAAATGTTAATTGTCCTAATGATCCTAGCAAACGCTTTACTTCACAATACATTCATTTTCATAAACATGGGAGCAGAGCAGTCTTACGGTATGACATGGTATGATCATTTCAGTGACATATATTGTTTCCCTACATGAAAATGTATCCTTTAGTTTTTATCCTTCATCACGTTTTATTTGCATTAGTATGTTTCAGTGCATAGTACTTCTTAGTAGGACATACTGTATTCAGTTTATATATATTTAAGTTTTAAAGGTCTTGGATGTGAAAGTCAGTGACATCAAATTGATAATTACCTTAACCGTCCATGTAGCCAAATGAGGCTTGTAAATTAACAGCAGTCTTTCTACATTCACAGAGCTCCACTGTGTAGCAATGAGTGTCAATATCCCTGGTTTGGTGTCTGTGATCATATTTTATGTGGTGATTCTGGCCACTGGCATCTGGGCTTCAAGAAAGTCCAAGAGAGAAGAGAAGAAATGCACAGGAAATAAAAGCGAAGTCACCATGGTTGGTGGCCGAAACTTGAATGTTTGTGTTAGCATTTTCACAATGACCGGTAAGATTTACAGACTTGGTACTTTTTACATGTATTATCAGTAATAGATGAGAATTAGAATTGCTATCCAGACTGCCCCCTATCAAACTCCCTGATTGAGCTGACGCAACAATTATCTTATTAAAGTCAAACAAGAGTACTGTAGTTAAATGTGTTTTTGTTTGTCTGTTTTAGCAACATGGGTTGGAGGCGGCTTCATCCTGGGGACAGCTGAGATTGTCTATCTCCCATCACAGGGCCTGGCTTGGTCTGTTGGGCTGGTTGGATACTCCCTGAGTTTGATAGTGGGTGAGAAATAATTGTTCACTTATTGACTTAAAATGTCTTACGAAAAATATGATTCAATAGATTCGATTGAAAGAAAATATGAATTACTGGTTTTAAATGGAAATGACAACTGAGTTAGAGGAAGAGTGAATTGACAATACCAAAAAGAAGGAAAGCTGTGACTGATACTGAGCATCAGATGAAAAGTATCATTCAATGTGCTTTATGCTTTCAAGACTTTAGAAAAATACAGCATATGATTGTTGGAGATTGAGCCAGAGCACTGACGCTTGTTGTCTGGGATGCTCACAATCAGCAGTGTCTAACCTAGTAAAGCATTGTGTCTTATCACAGGTCATCAATAATAGTCCACATTCTGGAAGATCATGAGTCACAACACCAAGATAGATAGGGTGGTTCAAGTGTGATGGTCTGGGCAGAAGAATCTTGTCTGGACTCCACATGTTAGGGGTGAAGACACCCTGTCTGTATGGTGCCTCACTACCTGTGGGTTTAACCTCAGGCAGTATTACTGCAGGACAAAACTTGTCCTTCTGCTGTTCATTTAATAATGGCTTTTTTTGCAACACAAGAATGTGTACTTCATTTATCACCGATATACAGCTTGGATTCTTTGCAGTGGTGGCAATGCACAGTAGAAGCCTATGTCTTCCACAACAGACCCACTATTGGAAGAACCCTGTTGATGAGATATTAATTGGCATAATCAATTTTATGTCTGTTCAATTACATTGTCAGTGCACCTCCTACTACAGAGTGTCATTTTCCTGAAAACTTTGAGAGTTTGTTGCATTTATAAATGATACATTTTCTTTGATCTACACTATAATAAAAGACACTTTCAGATGACAGTGGGTTTATTGCTTGCAAAATGAGCTTGCGAATATGCTGATACTTAATTTCTTTTAGCTATTAAGAATAAATGTTTCTTCACCCAGCTTAATAAATGACAGATCCTGAGGTCTCTATAAAGTTGCTGATAACAGTAAAAGTAAAAAAATATGGTTGTTCATGAGCCAGTAACCTTTATTCATAAATTAGTCAACATATGGTTTATAATACAATCTAAGTCTTTCTAGTCCTGCAAACCACAGGTCATGCTAATACAGTGTACAACTAGAAATATCTGCTTGTAATATAAACTATGAATGTTTCTTATCCAGGTGGAATTTTCTTTACCAAACCAGTGAGAGGAAAGAATTATATCACTATAATGGACCCATTCCAACTAAAGTATGGGAACAAACTGACAAGTATACTCTTTATTCCTGCATTGCTGGCAGACATATTCTGGGTAGCCTGTGTTTTGGCTGCTTTAGGTGGGTACATTTAGAGAATTTTAACATTACAGTCTCTTGTACCAGGTTGGCTGAAGCAATATGCCACTATGTGTGTTTTCTCAATCCATATAAGAGAGGTATTGCAACATGCTTACCTACACAATTGCTGAGACAAAGAAATAATGTCAAAGAAACAGTACTTAACCTCAATATATTTATCACGAAATGTATGAATTCTTTGCAGAGCACTTTCTTTTAATTCACATTTTTCTCTGTTGCCCAGCTCTCTTCAAATAATTAAAAAACAATCTTTTGAACTTGAGAGCATTAGTTAATTGCTAGAATGAAAAAAATTATAAAGGTCATGTCCTATTAGTTTTGTAACCATTTGTGACACCGCAAAGCTGTTTAATGGCAAGGCTTAAAAAGTAATCCCATTGTATTCAATAGGTGACTTCAGGTTACAAAGTGTCTAGGATTTTATTACGGACGTCCTCAGTTAGAGTTGTCAGAATTGATTGAAACTGCACAACACAGACACTGAACTTGTATTCAAGTAATATTCAAGTGGAATTATTGTTCTTAATTGAAAATTTAGTCCCAATACTTTTTTTGTGTGAATATCTGGGCTTAAGAAACTCACCTTAGATTTAAAAGTAAAAGTAAAGTGCTGCAATGTACAGTAATGCACCTTTATAACCATATACAGTATTATGCAGGATCTTTGCAATGACCAGCAGAACAACTTTTGAAGCAGAGGCATGGGCTCATTAACATTTTCTTGTGAAGTAATTTTGAAAGTGCATTATTGTCTACTATTTGCAATTTAAAGAGTCATCTCAGGGAGGCATTAACATGTACCCTTTAACAACACCAAGATTAATTATTTCATTACTGTCTTTATTACTATATCTTTCGAGTACAGCAAATCTCACATTACTATATGGTAACCCTCAAAGGGTTCTTTGTTTTTGTTTTATGTTGAAATTGAAAGGTAAAAATTAGTTTTCACCACTAAAATATTCACAGATATTCCAGATGAACAGCACCTCAAAATGCACTAGTGGAGATGGGACACTATTGGCTCTGCTTCATTTCAGAAGACTGTTGCTGCTGCTGTGTGTTTTAGCCAGTCAGCTAGTTCTGTGCAGTGTTTATGGTGACTGAAGCTTTAGTGAAACATGATCTGCAAGAGTAAAGGCAGGAATTGCATTACAAGTCCAGGCTCCCTGGATTTCGTATTGCAAGAGGTCACAGACCTCTACAGATACTCTTGCAATGGGGAGTTGTTTTGCATGTTGCCTCTGCCTTTGAACCCTTGTTACCACAGTCACACCCAAAGTCTTGATTTTGAAGTGTCAAAGAGTGAAAAATACATCTCATTAACCTCACACATAAGCACGACTGTGCTTTTCCATATAACCATATTATAAGGATCAGAGTGAGACAACTATTTGTTCTATTGTTGACTGTAATACTTTTAAGAAACGTGGTTTATAAAACTGCTATAATATGTGGCAATTTGCTGTTTATTATAACATCTAATATTTTTAATTAAATATATTCCAGGAGGAACAATGAGTGTTATATTGGATATATCATCTTATTACTCTGTCATCATCTCAGCTGGTGTAGCTATATTATACACTCTACTAGGAGGCCTATACTCTGTAGCATACACTGATGTAATCCAGCTCATCTTCATGCTTTTTAGTCTGGTAAGTAAAGGCTCATCTGACATTATTTTGGATTATCTGAAAAAGTACACACAGTAAAACTTTAGAGTACCAGACAATAGTAAGCACAGCCCATAGGTTTGTAGGCACACGAGTCACTGCCTTGAACTATCACATTAGGGTGATTGTACTTGCATATTGTGAATGTAAGAGAAGTACAATTCTAATTAAGGTATGAATTTTATCATTTAAAAAACACTTTCTGTCCTCCCTGCAATCAGTGGGTCATGTTATACTGTATGATGATAAATTGAAGTTTACTCAGATGCACCAGTGACACAACCAGTCTCTATGTAGTGGTAATCCTAGAATGAGCAGTGATAGTGATCTTTTTTAGAAGCATATGCTAATGTACTGTAATCAGTCCTTCTGGACAAATTATCTAAGTAAATCTAACTACACAGGGTGATAACAAGTAATTTAAAAAATGTATTGTATGTTTTTGGAGAGGGTGTCATCTTAAGTCTCTGCTTTGTTGAACTTGTTTCTTCTTACCAATTCCAGTGGCTTTGTGTCCCATTTACTCTTCTGAGCCCAGCATCTACTGACATTGCATACACAGCAGTGAATGAACTCTACCAGTCTCCCTGGATAGGGAAAATTGAGCCGACAGAATTGGGGAGATGGCTGGATGATGTTTTGCTCGTGGTAATGTCAGATAGACAGATGAATCATCCATTCCAAGTGATTATATACTCTATTGGTGTGAGAATTCTTGATTGTCTTGATTTTGTTACCTATAAAATAAGATGTTTACCTTGTCAGTGCAAAGTTTAGCTTGTTTTTCCAAGCCCATTAATATAGTTACTCAATCGCTGACAGTTTCAATTCTTTTCCAGACTTTGGGAGGAATATGTTATCAAGCCTTTTATCAAAGGATCTTGGCAGTAGCTTCTACCACTCAGGCACAGGTCACATGCTATGTTGGATCAATCTTCTGCTTTGTCTTGGGAATTCCTTCTGTGATTATTGGGGCTGTAGCAGCTTCAACAGGTCAGAAATCCTTTTTTGCTTGTTATGTCTTGATACAAATTAATTAGAACATTAGAACTAAATTTACTTTCTGAATAAAAAAGAAACTGTCATCTTTTAATTAAGGTTAGACATTTTATTAATAATTGATAATGTAAACCCTATATAGACTGAATGACACTTGTACTTAATGGTATGATCTCAGGGTAATAAAACTAGACACGCTGATGGAGTCAATAGTGTGAATTACTCAGGTTCTTCTTGAGAGCAATGCAAGTTTCTTACGGTATCACTCTTTTGCTGTTTCAGACTGGAACCAGACCAGTTATGGTTTGCCCACGCCATATGAGCGAGAACAAGCTGGTATGATTCTGCCCATTACCCTGCAGCATCTCTGTCCTTCCTACATTTCCATCGCAGGCATTGGGGCTATTGCTGCAGCAGTGATGTCATCCATAGACTCGGCCTTGCTTTCCTCTGCCTCCCTGTTTGCACGAAACATCTATAAGAACATCTTGAGAAAAAAAGTGAGGAACAGTTAAATAGATATGATTAGCAAGTAACATTTTATAAAATTACTGTAGTAACTTAAAACACTCCATCTAGAGTTCACACCATTCACACCATTCCAATGATGTTCCATTTTGTTGCTGACGTATAACTTGTTTTATTCATAGAAGTGTTCCGTTTAAGTATTATAGATTATTGTTGATCTCATGCTAAAAATATCTTCTCCTCCCCTTTACAGGCATCTGAAAACGAAATAATGTGGGTGGTGAAGTTTTCAGTTCTTCTTTTTGGGTCAATTGGAATGAGTCTGGCAATGACAACCAACTCTGTCTTTGTGTTTTGGCTGCTCAGCGGAGATATGATGTATACTGTGGTTTGTGCCCAGGTTCTCTGCGTTCTCTTTGTCCCTAAGTCAAATGGTTATGGTGCCTGCGTGGGATTTGTGTTGGGACTGACACTGAGGTGCCTAGCTGGGGAACCCATCATGAACATTGCCCCTGTAATTCACTTCCCTGGCTGCAGGCTTGTGGATGGCGTCTATGTGCAGTATTTCCCCTTTAAAACCGTCTCCATGCTGATCTCCTTTTTCAGCATTGTGATAGTTTCCCACCTGGCATCCTTTCTGTTTAACAAAGGGCTCCTAAAGGAAAAGTGGGATATCTTTAATGTCAAGGAAAAGAGCAGCATCACTCTGAAAGATGTGGCGCTGAATGAATTAACAGAAGAGAGCATTCTTCACAATTGTCAACATTCTCCCATCATCTGTAAAGAATGCTCTGCTTGAGTTAGAATACACCGATAATGCACACTTCTTAATGGAAGACAAAGATAATACATCACGTTTATGTCTACATACAGTACAGTAGGTCACTACTAGTTCATAAAAAATGTTTTGAAGGTTCCAGCATTTTGATTGAAAAATGTTGTAGCAGACCATCTGTAGTAAGAATAGTAGTTTCAGATGATCTGTCACAAGAGGTTCTTAAGGCCTCTATTGTCTATATACAGTATGTGTAAGTTTACAAGTGGTGCATTTATTGTATAATTAGTTAATTGGTGAAGGGCTGAGAGCCACATTTTCCAAAGGGGTTAGAGTTAGGGTTAAAGGGACTCATAGTGGTAGGTGATATTGGGTTGTTGTTTTGTGGGTACAGAGGTCCTTTGTGATTTTCATGTGCTCATGCCTCACCAGCCTACTGTTTACACAGAAGCCTGGCACAAATATCTAACACTTTATAATACTGAAAATAAAAAGTACAGAAATGACTTCTCTTTCTTTGATCAAGATTTTTCTGAAAACCAGTGGATGTGTCCAAATGATACGGATTTTAAAAAAACGGATTAAAATCTGTATGAGAGATGAAACAATAGTTGTAATCATTATTCAAATGGTGCAGTTCCTCCAGCTACCGAGTAGAGTTGATCTGAGCACTGAAGATATATATTTTTAGAACTGCTTGTAGTAAATTTCAGAATTGTGTTTTGATAAACTGAACTTGAAGAATCTCTAACTGGGTTTCCATGCGCACTAGTTTTCTAATACTTGGCATTCAGAATATGGTATGCATTGTTGTAAGCATAGTCACAATAAGATGAAAAACATTCCTGATGTACAACGCAGTAACTTCTCTGAAGCATTCCAAATGTATCTTGTATAAAGGTATCAGTTGTTCAAGCAATTTCATGACTGATACTAACATGACAACGTTCTTTGAAATGGAGACATTCCAGTATGCCCTGACAGTGAAGCAAGTCAAGTAGGCTGTTCCTCTTTACTGGAAAGCAGTTTGTGTTCAAATTATTGTTTTAAACCAGTGCAACATGGCTTGTTGAACCCAGAATAGGTGGGCTGAAAACAGAAACATTCTGTCTGGATCATTTTGAACATTTGGATGTGGCTGTTTGACATGATGCTCAGAGCATTTGCTTCCTATTTCTCACTTACAGCACATGTGTGCTCAAATATGAAGAGATTTGGTGTTTTCTACCATTCCTGGCTTGGTTGGATATGCATTCTTACTTTTTCCAATTATACATTATTTAATAAATCCACCCAGCCATTTTCTAACCTCTTCGTCCAATTCAGGGTAGTGGATATATAATATACTGTATAGAATTAACTGATGGTTAGCTTTATTCAGATTATCATAAATAAGCTGTCTGCCCTGTGATGGACTTGTTAACTTGTGCCATTGCTTGCTAGGATGGACTCCACATAAGCAAACCTGAATTGAAAGAAACAGTAGATGGATAAATAAGCAGTCATTCAGCATCATTGCTTGGAAGACACTTGAGCCTGAAAGCTGTCTAGAAGAACTTGTGGTATTCACTGGGTAGTGACTGTTCATTAACAGTGAATCTGAAAGATGGGTGGCTGGAGTTTTAGGTTTCAACTGCATGTGCTGCAAGAAGAGCTGGCAGAAGAATTCTTCATGTAGGAAATTAATATGAGTTTAAAGAGTTTAATGAATGATAGATCATGGGGTCTTTCAGTAAATTCAGCACACAGCAGTAGTTAAAAAATAACACATTACATTGCTTTTAACAGGGACAGTTATCTTGTTCTCAGATTAACCATTTTATAATAAATTAAACTACATACAGTATATTGCAAAGTTTCTTCTAACCATGCAGCCACAAAAGCTGCTGTAATACAGCAAAACAATTTGTTTTTCTATCCATCATTTTATTAATTACAAATGCCAGGTGAATTACCAGGTGAAGTTTACTTTATTAAACAATCCATCCATCCATTTTCTAATTGCTCCTTCCAATCCAGGGTCATGAGATGCCGGAGTCTATCCCAGCAAGAAATGGGCACAAGGCAGGATACACCCTGGACAGGACACCAGTCCATCGCAGGACAGACAAACAGATACAGACATGCATACACTCACACCTATGGCCACTTTTCCCAGCCAATTATCGTACAAGTATGTTTTTGCACTGTCGGAGGAAACCCAAGTGAACATACTGTACAAACTCCACACAGATAGAGTTTGGAACTGGAACTGACCTCAGGGCCCCAGCGCAGTGAGGCAGCAATGCTTTTACCATTAACTAAACCAGTGACTCAAAAAATACCATATGATGTATCTATTCCAGACAAAACAAGGGAATTTTGTTGTGTTCATACAAAAATACAAAAATGTAATTATACAGTGTATAATTTCTCAAATATCTCATGACTGTTCATTTGTCACTGATGAAACAGCACATTGACACCATTAACTTTACATATTAACAATGAAAGCTTTACCGTAACTACGTTTTGCATTACTTTCTCCCATTTAATCACAATTCTCAGCAAGAACTTTAAAAAGCTTTTGATACTGAATGTATGAATTACTGCAAAACTAAAAAAGAAAAAAGTTATGACCAATTATGACAAATGTTTTACTCACAAGGTTTAAAGTTTGCTTTTGTCATATTTATAGTTCCCTATTTACTGTTGTAAGAACACAGGGTGCAGTAACCAATAAGGCTGTGGTAAGGCTGTGAGATTATTTTTAAATGTTTTTATTCTCAGGACTATTCTTCTTCTCTAAAGCTCTGACCTAAAGGTTATTTTTAAGGTTTTGGACATACTGTACAGTACAATGAAAAACTAACATTCTTAATTGTTAAAATTGCATTTGGTAAGAAACTACTCATTTGCACCATTAAGCACACAAAGAGTACTTTATTTTAAAAATCATTGCTTGATTGCCTCTGTTAATGTTTATAAGATATTGAATACAAAAGATACCAAAAGCCCTGTTGTGGCACTTTAATTATGTTATGACGTAATCTACTAGGACCTTGTACTGTTTACTAATGTGATCTTAATCCAATCCAATTTACTTTTGTGCTTTTTAGTCTGGTACTGTATACCAAGGCTCTGTAGGTAGTACTTAAGAGTAATCTGGGGGGGTTCAACATTGCTTGCTCAAATACAACAAGAAAAAAAATGTCTGATACAATTTTATGATTTTGCTTAGCACCCTACAGCACCTCAGTCCTTCTGCGCAGCTATAAGAAAATTTTACGGAAAAAAATCAGAAGTGGCGAAATAACAATAACAAAAATAATCCGAAAGGGGAAACCAGAAAGCCGGCCGAAAGTCCGAAAGACCGGGTGAACCATCCAAGACAAAACAAGACAAGGTTAAAAACCGGAACAGGATCTGGTGCCGGGACAGGGAACAAAAACGGGTGTGATGAGGCCAGGCGCTCTGAGCCCTGGACTCAGCTGGGTCAGGATGCCGATAGGAGGCCTATGCCCCCAAACCGTGGGTGAAGGGCAACTTGGTGGTAGGCGGGCATCCGTCTTCCAGTGCAGAGCCCGGAATAGAGTGAGCGTCTGGTTTATAAGGAGGGGCTGGATTGGAGGCAGGTGCACATCCTCAAGTAAAATGTGAAAGAGCCGGAGCGCCTTTAAGAGGAGGGATAAGGCCAATTGAGGGAAGAGTACTACCCAACGGTCTACCAACACTGTTTACAGCATCATTCTCCATCTGGCTTGAATTACATCTAAACGTGTCTAAAAAGCATCACTAGACTAATATTATCTGCATTATTCCATATTCACCACCACACAAAAGTTTTTAATAATTACCACTGAAGGGCAGTACATAATTGTAGAAAGAACTCTATGTGGAGAGAATAAATCATTTTTGGTATGATCTATTATATAAATTACAGTGTTTATGGCAGTTTCTAATTAAGACTATGTTATATGAATCACGATCATATTGTTCATTTGTTATCATTCACATGAATTTACATCAGCATTTTGATGCCACTAGGTATCACTAGTAGTATCAAAATATCACTTAAGCTACACTCTTTATGAGTATTCCATGATAATTTTTGAAATCACACTTTTTTTAGCATATTTGAAAAGTAGTCCTGTTCAAACCCTGAATTAAACAAATCAAAAGTTTAACATGAAATTCTCTTCTATAGGGCCTTTTAAATTGAGACTGTGGCCCAGCATGTCCATTAAATGCATCTCTCAGGGGTTTAAAATGCAATCAATTCTACTTCCACAGCTTCAACACAATAAATGAAAGTGCAGAGATTCACTGCTGCTTTTATTCCACAAGTATTGCCACAAGTACTTGTGGAATGATATACATTAAGAGTGAAATCACACTTCAACAGGACCACTCTACATCTTCCAAGAGAAAGATATATACAGTCAGGAATAGTATGTAATTCTTATTTCAAGCAAAACTGTGGTCTATTTTTTGAGAGTTTAGTATCTCAAAAGTCATTTGTAATTAGGTGAAGAGTACTTGTTAGCGCTAACTTTTCACTCCAGGAATTCTCATTTTCTTGCCTCTGTTCCACTGCACGCTTGTTATTGAATACATTTAGATTATTAAACAATAGATAATGAACATTTTGCTTTTTACATGTACTGTAGTAGTGTTTTAGCCTGTTAGCTCATAAATGGCTTTAGAACCATCATTTAGACTTGTTCACAGCTCTGTACATTATCTGTACTCTAAGGGGACAAACAATAAATTCCTAAATCTGGATATTTTTAGTCCCTACTTTCCTCACTTCATGGTAAAGAGTGCTTGAAGCAGAGATGGTGATTTTCAGAGCAGAACATGGTGGCAGACAATTTTGGATGCGATTACCACCAGCCTGTGTTATTGTTTTTTCATAGAGGCTCATAAGCTGTGTCTCTATGGCGGTAAATGATCCTTATCAGGAAAACTTTATTCTAAACACCTTTTATTTACTTTCAAGAAAATTAGAATTTCTAGAATTCTGATTATTCAAAATGTAAATAAATATCTATTAGCAAAATAGGATTCTATTTTAACAAGTACATTCATTTTCCAGTGTCGGCTTCAGAAAGTATTCATATTCCATTGCTAGCTGCATGATTGATGAAAAACATTATTCATCCCAAAGTGCAATCTGTGTCCTACAGTCTTCTAAAATATAACAGAAAAAGTACTTAAGAAAAATGTTGTTTTATATTAGAATATTGATCTGACGAACAACAACAATCTGACATTGATTTTCTAAGCTCTGTGGATTTTTAGACAAATCTAAATGAATGAAAGCTACTTTCTGAGATAGTTAAAAAGCTTGTAAAGACTATTGAAACCGACTGATGTTACTACTGAAAACAAGATTTTCCCCAGTTAGCTTTATTTTTTATTACATTCAGGGAATGTTAATATTTTATTGTTAGAATTACTTTAACAAATGAAATACATTCCATTCATTTATCCCATTGTTTCTAAGAAGAAGAGTTTACATACT